GGAGGTGGTGGAGTCACTGTCCCTGGAGGTATTTAAGGAAAGACAGAATGTTGCACTTAGTACCAGGGTCTAGCTAACGTAGTGGTGATCAGTCATAGGTTGGACTCAATGATCTCAGAGGTCTTTTCAAACCTAATTGATTCTGTGATTCTGTCTTCCACCCACATAAAACTTCTAAGATTCTCAATCTGCTTGGAAAACACTAGTATAGCTGTATGAAAAAGGTAAGAGGCAGATTGAAGAGCTAACAATAGCAAATAACAGTACCAGCAAGAGAATAATTTTCCTTCTTTCCTATTTACTCCAACTGGAGAAGTAGCTACAGAAAAATGCAAGAACAGACCAATAGGAATTAAATGTGTGTATTATGTGAGGAGATCAGTGTAGTCACCTCATTCAGTTTTTCAGTGGGAACTCAACCTGAACATGTTACCTAGCAAAATTAATTCATCTTGCATTTGGTGCAGAAATTGAGGGCAACATCTCCTTAATTTAATGGGAATAAGGTAAAAAGGTGTAGTTTGTACCATGACAAATAGCAGTCTAGATTTTGCCTCTTAAGTCTAGATGCTGCAAGTGATTTGATGTCTCACAGGCTGAAATGGTACAAGTTGAAATGTAGTCAGCTTCTTTCAGTGTGGCTTAGTAATTGCCAGGGACAGAGCTCTGTTCTGTCCATTCAGCCATTTCCTGCCATCTGGTAGGCAAGTGAATATGGGGATTTTCCTCTTTATCCAAAAGATGTTATATTTATTGTATTTTATGTATGTACATATATATAAATACTTTGGTATATTAGAGTTACTCCTTTTGTGCATTCGTTACAAAGGAACATCCCTCTCTCTGACAGTTTCAGCGGTGATGAGGGCTTGAAAAGAAATGAGGAAAGAGGAGAAGTTTTTCCCATTCTCCTTGCGCTGCAATGAAAGGTGGCAGTGCTTTTATTTCTCCATCAATGGGGCAAGCAACCATAATCTATTTTTAGAATGAAGCCACAGTGGAAGAGGAATTGAAGAGGATGCTCAAGAAGAGCTACAAAAAAATGTCTGGAAAACATCTCATCCACTGAAAGACTAAAGAAGTTTGGTCTCCTGAGCTTCTTACAGCTGAGTCTGAAGGTGAGTTACATCACAGAGTTCTGTGGGAACTGACTGAAAAGAAACTGCAGTATTATCATTAGGACCTGATTTACAAACAGAATTACTGATCTCCTTGTATCGAGCACTTGTCAGAGAAATACAGAGAATGCACACGAAGAATCAGCAAGTCTCACCAATGCAATGGGAAACCTTTAACCCAAGTTCAGTTAAAACATTCTTACTACTGAGCATGTACTGACATAAACGTATGAATAACGATGGGGAGAGGCAGCAGCCTTTATTACTGAGATCATGAGATGCCTTTGCTTTGTTAGCACGTTCCTGCTGATGGATGCCAGGGCAGGAGAAGGGGGTGTTGCCCTGGCCCCACACAGGAACACATCCTCTCCCCAGCTGTGGCTAAGAGCAAGCAGGAGGGAGCTGGGGGATAGGTAGAGAAATCTGCACCCAAACAAATGGGGCTCAAAAAAGATGATCAAATAAGCTTACAGCAACTGTACTTGTAAGTTGTGGGTGCCTGTGGGAAGTGAAAATGCAGTTACGTGTGGATATAAACTGGATTAAAACAGATGGTTAAACCTCAATCACAGCACTGCATTTGATACAAATGCAAGGAAAGGCAAATGATAAGCAGGGTCTTCAGATTAAGTAAGGTATTGGTAAAAATAAGGAAAACAATATTGAATTCACAATGTGCAGTATAGGAACAAATTTATATTTTATATATATATTTATACACACACACACACATATATGAATCGTCTCTGAAGTGGCATTTTGGCAGGGGAAGCCTCCAAGAGGGCAGTTTATCTGTTAACGCTAAGTCTTGAGGAACCCCGTCTGTACACAGCTGAATCTTTAAGAAATGCAAACATGGTGCATTTGTTTTCTTTTTCTTTCCACGGTCAGAACATTATTGTATTGGACTTTTTTTTCCCTGAGCTCTACTATTAATTAAAAAGTATTGTTAAGAGTGCTATTTCACTGAAAATTCTCAATATACAGATAACTTTTCTAATTTAAAAACTAATCTGGAGGCTGAGCCCTGCCAAAATACAGTGTTCAATTAATATAGGTGGGTGTTAAGTACAAATTAGCCCTATGGTGCAGGTATGGAGGCTCCCTAGATGATACAAACTTCAAGGTTCATGCAGCGAGAAAAGGGATATAGAAGTACAGATTATAGTGATTCCTGTTCTGACGGTTCTTTCACGAAGGGTTGGCATACAATTTAATGTATTATCCCATGTTCTCAGCCCTTAGTTTTGCCATATTCATTTAACTGTACATTATTATTACCCTTGTTGCTGCACTGGATGCTTCCCATTGCTTTCATAAATGGCATGCCAGAATTTTATCAGCTAAACTTACGCCATTGAGACAGGCAGTTTCTATTTCTGTTTGGACTGACAAAATTCCTGTTAGATTTAACATGAGATGACTTCGGTATTTGGATGTGCAGTAAAAGAAAGAAAAGGATGGAAGTACTGTGTTCCTGGCCTTTCCCTGGATAATCTTCTTTGCCAAGAATGGAGAGCTGAAATTTTTGTGGACTGACACAATTTCATATATATCACTTCTAGTTGAAATAAGTAATCCCAAGAGCACTCTACAGCATGAGAGACAAGTGTTCCATTCACCTCCTCTAGCTGCTTTGCTTTCCTCCTTCCCCTGGAGGTGGATGAACCTATTGCTCTCTCCAGCATGTCATCCCACATTAACTTTGTTGGAGAGCTGCCTGAGCATCGCTCAGTGCCCAGGTAATTAATTGAAAAGCCCCATGACTTCCTTGCTTCAAAAGGCAGAGATTTGACTCTGTAGTGCTAATGAGATTGAATGTCATCTGTGGAATTTCCTTAATCATGGCATATTGACTTTCTGCCTAAATCAAATTACTTTTATCCATGTTGATTGCACAGTTATAAAACCCCCATGAAAATCTTTTTATTAAATGTTATAAATCTCCCTGCTAATACAATGTAAATGCCCCATTGTTTTCACTTGGTGCTTAATGAGCAAATCAGTTCTTGCAGTTTAATCACACACTGAAGGCTGAAGTTACTGATAAAGTGACTCTTCCTTTTTATTTGATATTGACCACTGTGCCACTTAACTTTAAAACTAGAAAATTTTCACTTCTCCATAATCTTGGTCATACCTAGATGAAGAAGAGAAGACTCGCACTACTCCAACCTTTTTATAAGCCACCTTGAACAAGAACACTAAATAATTATACCACTAGGCTTTACACAGCCAATATAAAACACCTTGATGACTGGAAATCCCTTCCTTCACTGATCTTTTTTTTTTTTTCACCACCAAATTCTGTAGTTATTACTTCTCTATTTAACCTGTCCCTGGAATATTCCTATGCTAATGTCTACTTTCTGGCATCATAATCAACATCAAAAATGGCAGTTTCTAAATAGCAACAGATACCTGTGGCACCAGAGTACTTGCTCTGAGGGTGGTGTTCAAGGGCAATAATTGCGATCAATCTTTTTCCTGATGAGGATGCTCCCTAACAAAAACAGGCTACACTTTTGAAAGAGCCATGTAGACACCATGAAACAGTTTACCACAAAATTCCTTCTTCGCTGAACACAAGTTGTGGTGCAAACCCTTTGCAGAAAATGATTACACTTTCACCAAGAGCTTCCTTCACTGAAAGAAAATTCGACCTGCAAGAGTGTTTTCCCATGCCAGCTTTCCAACAGCCCCAACATCCAGCAGTCTTCCCTGGAGATGCTCTTGTCATCACAAGTAAATTCCCCATGAACCATCATGTGCATATGCAATAAGTACTGGACTTGCTTGCTGATCTCCAGTGGCCTGCCAGAAGAAGCAGCTCCTTTTGCATCAGACTTCCTGGCCCCTCTGTTCCCAGGATTTACTCTGCTTCTCCTGATGCACCTCCTCATGGATGAGGGGTGTACATGGAATTAAACAGCTAGAGTCAACACTAACAACAACAAATTAAAGTCACTGCTGAGAGAGTATTTCTTCTCTGAGATTCTGGGCTTGATCCTTAACAAGAATCTAACCACGATCTCTTCTGAATCATGAGCACTAAAATGTATTGCTTTTTACTTCGTTAAAAGGATGGGCTTTGTGGGCCCAGGGTTTTCTAGCACATAACTCCTCTCCCCTTCTCCTTCTGGGTGATGATCACCCTTCTCTTATTCTTTGGAATAGACTATCTTCTTTCCTTCGCTTTGGCTCATCTTTTATTATATATTTGACTGATCATTTTTGCTCTCAGTCATATTAAAGTATTAGAGCAATTATTTTCAGCTTTTACTTAGCCACAAAGGTTGCTGCTTCTTTTTCAGACCCGAAGTACTTATGCCAGAAAACACAGGTCTGATTTTTTCCCCGAAGTATTTTCATTACTATTGCCCTGAAAAAAGACACTGCCTCTCCTCATGGTTTCCCTTTTCCCCAGAAAAATCTCCCGTGCGGCATGATGTCAGTCAGATCTTTCTTCTGACACCTGCCATGAAGCGTCCCTCTCCGCGTGCCAAATTCAAGCAGGGCTGATAGCCTCAAACTAATGACGGGAGGCAGGACTGATTCCTCCAACATCTCTTTCTGCCCTCAGCTGTTACTTCCCTCTTCTCCTTCTAGAGGCCGACCAGGGGAGCGGGCCGACCAGCGAGAACAGGAGCGGGTGGAAAAAAGAGAGAAAGCCTCAGCTGAAAGAGAGTTTCGTGGAAGTGAGGGACGCTGAGCGGTGCCAGTGGGGCGCTGCGCGGGAGGAGCCGAGTGGCAGAGCCGAGGATGGTGCGTTTCGGAGCCGAGGGGCGGTGGTCCCGGGAGCGGCGCGGCGGGTTCCGCAGGGGCCGCCAGGGGGCGCGAGGCGGGCGGGGCGCGCAGTCCCTGCGGGACGCGGCGGGGCCGGGCCGGGCGGAGACGCGGGGCGGGCAGGAAAGCGCCGCGCCAGCTTGGAGTCGTCGTCGGGGGCAGTGCGGGCTTGGCGGGTTGGGGCTCGTCGCTTAGAGGCGCCTGTACGGGCTGCTTCGGGGCTCGCAGGATGCCGGCAGCGCGACGGCGCGGAGTGCGAGTGCTGTGGCCGCTGCTGTGGGTGGCCCTGGTGCGCTGCTACAACGTGGACGTGGGGCGCCCCGTGGTTTTCCAGGGTCCCAACGGCTCCTTCTTCGGGTACTCGGTGCTGCAGCACTACCACGACAGCACGCGGTGGTGAGTAGTGCGGCCCCTGCGTGCCCGGGGCTGGCGGCGGGGAGGCGATCGGGCGAGTGCTGCCGGGACATCCGTCCCGTCTGGCAGTCGCACCTCCTGCAGCGGGGCGGCGGGACCCGAGTCCCCCTCGCAAGGGCGGGCAGCGAAGGGGCGCCTCCGCCCCGGCTGCGCGGGCCCTCCCTACGCTCAGTCCGCCCCGTCGTGCGGGTGCGGTGGGGGCAGCGCCGTGGCTCTGCGCCCCTTGAGCGGGAGGGATTCCTCTGAGAGGGAGCAGAGTCTCCCCGCGCTTGGAGGTGTTTTAACACCGGGATGCCCTTCTCCAGCTGGCGACAGGCGCTCGACATCGTGACCTCACTGTCCTCAAGTGCCAGCCTGCCCCTGGCCGATGCCTCCGCGCTGTGCGCAGTCCCGCTTCCTCGCGGGAAATATTTAGCAGCTCATCGCCCTGACAGAAAGTGCACGGGATACAAAATGTGATGGGTCATGCCGTGTTAACGGGAAAGGTTTCAAATACCGATCATCTCCAGCGGGAGCAGCGCGCTCAGCGTTGACGGAGTCGATATCCCTGCACTCAGCCTGGCGAGGGACAAAATCCTTCCGGAGGCTGGAGAGGCGCTTCCAAATTGAGAGGCGTTTGTCTCCTTTGTGTGCCCGCTGTTGGCGTGAGGCACAGTAGAGGAAATGTCTATGTAACTTAAAAAAAAAAAAGACCGATGAAAAGTAAGTTTATCTACATCTCAAAAAATTATGAAACTGGCAAGCTTCTTGTTTTCCTATTGACTGAAAAGAGCCTTGCAGCATAGTCTGTCTCTTGTCTGGGTTAGAGGCTCTTTGTTAGAATTAAAACTGATTTATCTTAATTGGATTTAGTTGATGTCATCTGGTGCAGTTCTAATGTGAGTAGGAGCCATTGCTGCCAATAAATGTCCACAAAGCATGTCTTTATCTTTTATACTTAGATATGGCCCAATGACTCAGCTATTGATATTGGAACTTTGGTGCACTGTGGTATAAATAAATGTATTCATTCTGGCGTTCAGTTCTTTAAAAATGAGTTTCTTTCACACCCTTTAGTTCACAAGTAATTCTATGCTCTGCCTTTCTCCATAGTGGCTTTTACAGAGCATTAATTTTTAGGACTTATCAGAAGACTTTGTAGAGGAAAAGCACCCTGGGAGAAGAAAAGCTCTCAGTTTAAAGCAATGCTTAACTTTGGTCAGGAACCAGTGAAGGATGTAAAGGCTGAAAGCAGCTTGTGTTCAACACAAATTGCTGGGGATTCACAGAGGTGTGAATGAAATGCTGATCTAGTGCAGTATGGTGGGATGTAAATGATAGAATTTGTTGCTCCTTATGTAAATGTCCATTGTTCTGATTGATAATATGAATTATCTTCAGATAGCACCTGCTGCTGTGATTTTTTGGAAGGGGAGATAGACTAGGAAGGAGAGTCTCCCAGAAATCCCACTTGGTTTGGAAACATGCTGGACTATAAGTGTTGGGCATCCATTTGAAGGCAGGGATCTGTTAGAAGTCTAGTGTTTGAAATTAAAATCTCCAGTTATGCAAACTTCAGTTTTTTGAAAGTGGAGGTGATTCATGGAGCCTTGGCTATGACACCCAGAAAAAAAAAAAAAAAAAAAAAAAAAAACAAACCGAAACAACAAACATCTAAGATCATTAAATATTTTTAAATAAAGAAATTGCTAACCCCAACACTCAGAAGGGTTAACAGCAGTTTAATATGGTCAGCATCAGCACTGTCAGAAATCTTGGGGGTGGTATTGTCACCACTGATGGGAAAACTCCTCTTTTCATTGTGGAACGAGAGAGTTTGCCTTTATGGGTACTTCAAAATCTTGTTCCCAACAGACCCTGGGATAACAAGTTTGGGAGATACATATTTTTGCACTCTTCTTGATTCTAATTTGCTATGTGTAGTTGTGCTCTTAATGTTTGCATGCATCCTAAAGGTCAACAATGAATCTTGCTTAGAAGTATATGCAACCTTCTTCCAGTTTTCTGAAGATGCCACTCCCTGTACTGAATGAGCATATTCTGATTGCAAGCACATTTTTTTTTACACTACAACATAATAAACATTTAGAGTGTTTAACATATTTCTTCTGAAAAGCTTAAAAGATCTAGCCAATCTTCCTTGACATTCAAAACATTAAAGAGCTGAACCCTAGTAAGTGCCTTTATCTATGCCCACTTCAACTGGGCATAAAAGTCTCCAGTATTATATAGTAGTATTTCAAAACCATATTTATACTGTACAGAATCTTATACATCCTTTCAGAGCATAAAGTCTCTGATTTCAAGTTTAAACCAATTCCCAGTTGCAGGTTACTAATGTACAATAAACAATTCCAATGTATTAGATAAGTGCAGGGGGAAATGCTTAGTGGAACTCTCAACATTTTTCAGCTTTGTCAGGTTTCTGTTGCAAAGCTGTAGATGTATTTCCTTAACTAGCTTGTAGAGTCACTAGACGATTTTTTTCCCTTCTCTTTTAACTGTGATATTCTGGGGAAAGGCTGAAGTCAGTTACAGGGAATATGTAGTAAAAATGTTTTCTATTCATCCCATTATAGCATAAAGCTCCTCTTACAAGTAATAGGTTTACTGTTTGGTTTTGTGTGTCAGTTTTTCTTCTTGAAACATTTATATACCCAAGGAAGAGCTATGATTTAAGTTTTCTCATGTCCATTTGACCTATACACTGCAATAGAAAGTAGTTAAGCTAAATGGACTTTAGACTGATATTTTGGGCATTCATGACTTTCCCAGTGAGCTGTGCACTACATGAGCCTGCAAAAATGTGATCAGGCATATCTGCGGCTGATAGGGCCCCTACCCATCTAATATTGTTTAATATATTAAACAAGCATTTGACTCTCAAGCATTTGAAAGTGTTCAGGGGCTTCTTGCTCTTTGTTGCTTGAGGACATGATACTCACCTAACATGCTTCTGATCATGAGAGCTGGGTTGTTTGCAGTAGCCTGTCCATGTGCTGGTATGTGTGTACATATCTGTGTGTATATACATGTGTGTGCACGTATATATAGCCACAGATTCATATGAAAATGCTATCTGTAATAGCCAGGCCTGTTTCAACTGTTTGTTTTCCAAGACCACAAAGGCACATATTTATATTGTCTACTGTAGGCTTGCAGGTTTTCAGTAAACTGATTCAGAGTTTGGTGATTCTTCAAGATTTATATGAACCAAATATTCTTGTAGGATGAAATGGGGGGGGAATATTTTGTTTGAAATATTACATCAGATAAATGTGAGTAGTCAAGCTGGTACACAGTCCTTGATGCAGAAATTATAGTGGAATATGAGTGTTCAGCCACCACAACAATAGTGGAACAAGTCAGTGTCTTTGACCTTTTATGAAATAGTTGATTGCAAAGATAGTTCCATTTAGAAGGTGTTTTTCCACACTTTTTTATCTCAAAAAAAGTTTATTATCACAGATGTGCTGATGTTGCTGATGTATTTCTGATGATGTCTGCTTTTCCTTCCTTAAATGGCTTTTATGGCTGTAAATCTTGACAAGTTTACTCAGTTACCTATCATTGCTATTTTCAGCCGAGTGAGGAACCAGGTGGCTACTTGCATTTGGAGCAGAGACAAGCTGAAGTGCTTCTGTTCTCTGGATGTAATTTTGAAACTTCGACTAAAGACTCAAAAAATGACCAAAAAATGACCCCAGACAGTTTAAAAAGAAACAAATGTCAATTTTTTCCCCAGTAAAAAGTGTTAATAATGTGAAATCTTTGATTGTTCTTTTTTAAAACGTTACTTTATTTTCTCTCCTTTCCGCTCTTTATTCCCGCTTCTTGCTGACACCCTCAAATCCCTAGCAAGTCCAGGGTGACCACTTTATCTTTCCTGACAAAATGATCTGGCTTGAAAAAGTAATGGAGTCAGTTTAATTGCATGGTGTCCTGCTGTGTTTTACAATATGGAATGAGTCTGGTTTTTGTGCTGTTGCATCATTCCTTCAGTCCTGCTCTTCACTGGATTGCACTGCTGCTGAAATAATGAAGGCTGTTCTGCATCTCAGGCTGATGGATGTGGTTTTTTTTAGTGTGTCATGTACTTCTGTGCAACCAGAACAAAGGCTGGGACAGACCGACCCTGTGGTGACTGGGTGTTGTGTTGCATAATCTAAGCAGTGATGCTGTAGGTGTTACCATGGCATTTTGGGGAACCTGAACTTGCTGTCTTTGGTCACAGGTCATCCAACCCTACTGCTTCTTGCTCTGCATGTAATGGATGCAACACTGAGGTTTCATCCTCAGTGTACCCCAAGTACCTGGGGTTTTTATTGCAAGTAACAGAGATCTTTCTAAAGGGAAGAAGCTCAACTGGGATATGATGGCAGTGCACCCTCCTCTGGTACTGCTTTTGAAATCAGCTCTGGTATGCAAGAATATTTAAAGACTTCTTTTCCCTGCCACTTAACATTGCAGTGAGGTGAGGTACCTACAGTCCTTGAGTTGTGATTGCCTAATCGCTGCTGACATGCTGCATGCATGCTTAGTGTGCATGGCATCTCTCCAGCCATTTGGTCGGCTCTGCACTTTTTCTCCCTGTTCCTTCTGTTAAATGCAGCACTTATTTTCCAAATCTGTATGTCCCGAGGGTCAATCAACAGGAAGTAATTTTACGAAGGTGCGAATTTCCCTTTGGCCGAGAAAGCTTCTTGTCATCCATTAATATTGGCAGCTGTGACTCCTGCAGTGGAATGGTTTCTGGCCATGCGGCTGTGTTGTTGTCTCAGTACAGATGAAAGTGTTTTGACTTTCTTATGTGAGTATGAATGCAAGAAGAGAGGGTTAAGTGGCCTTTCTGCCTGCTGCTCCTTATTTTGGTTTAGACCCCAATATTTTTTTCACAGAGCCAGTGGGATGAGGCTGTTGCTTACAGATTTTTTTTGCACCTCAAGCAAAAGTGACTCTAAAAAGGCCCTGAACTCTACTCCTTCTGCCCTCAGTTGTCTTCCATAGGAAGAAATCTCTCTCTTGAGGGGATTTCTTCTTCAAGGTATCTTTCAGGCAGATACTCAAAAATATTCTAGGGGCTTCCCAGAGAATAGTATGGTTGTGGTGAGAACCAGCAGTCATCTATAATCTGTGCAGAGAGTATTATCCGCTTAGTAAGCCTTTTGGCAAAAGGCTGGAGAACTGCTGGTACTTGCTTGCTGACAGCACAAGTAGTCGTATAGCAGCACTGGAGATCTATACCACAAAAATCAGGCTATTTTAAACCAGAACTGCTTAAACAAGAGTGATGTTGGGAGGTTGTACTTCTGCTAGCTGTATTTATATCTTCTGTGTTTGTGCCAGGCAAGACTCCACAACACTTAAATGTGAGAAGACTGCATTAGACTCTAAGATTTTTTTTTAAATGATTTTCTGAGTTGATATGGTACTAGACGAAAAACACTTTCTCTGATTGTAGCGTTGTTTCATAGAAATCACAAAAGATTTCACAAGTGTTTTAAATGTATAGAGGAGATACAAAACAGGTGTTTGTTTTGCTCAAGGAGTCCCAAAATATTTAGATGGAAATGAGTCTTCTATCCAGGCCTGCTGAAAGTCTCATGACAGTTAAATAGGTGACTTTCTTACAACAGTTAAGCCATTACAAACTAGTGAAAGAGTAAGCAAGTCTTTATGCTGGCAAATGAAATATTCCGGTCTCAAACCTTTGTATAAAATTGAAATAATTGGTATGTGACAAATACCAACCAAAAAGCATGTGAACCAACAAAAAAACCTCCCATTTCCCAGAAGGTAACCATCTCAGGACATGGATGAGCATGGATCATGCCAGATGGAACAGGAGATCTGCAAAGGTTTTAACTGCTGGGTTTTAGGTGCAAGAGTGAAAGAATGAGACAAGATCCTAAGATGACATAGTGTGGGATGTAGGTAAAATATCAAATTTGAATGAATTGATATTCAGGACAATCTGAAAGAGATTTGCTTTTGGCACGTGTCACTGTCTGCTTCCTTCTACTCAGTCCATGTGAAGAAATGTCAGCAGACATTTTCTTTTTGAAAGGTGTATTTGCTCAAGACAGCAATATTATCTGAACCAGTAGCCTACTCAAATCATTAATTATTAAATTTTCCCATTTGGCTTTTTAAAGAAAGCTGAAAAATCTTTGTAATTTAGACTCCATCATCTCTATCTTTTATGCTACAATGCAAAGTTTCTTGTGCACTAGTTGCTGAATTGTATTTACTTCTCTTAGGTTAGAGCAAAGCTTCTTGTAAGCTGGAGATCAGTGTGGCCTACATTATCTGATTGTTATAACAGGTCATAGAAACAGTTTCTTGCCACTTGCAATTTGAACCTGTAACTATTTAAGCTAGTAATATTTATTTTTGTTAGACCTCATGAATGTCAATAAGTGAATGATAAGCATTCATTGCCTGTGTAAATGAAATGACTGGCATTTGATTTTATGCCTGCAGCCTGCCTAGTGGGATTTCCATGTGGAGCTGTTATTTCAAACTCCTTTTCACTTGCTGCCCAATGTGTGCAGGTTTTGTAGGTTTTAGCAATTTAAGTATTTTGGACATTAATTCTTCTCACTTGTGAAAACATGATGTGCATTGTAGAGTGCAAGACTGCAACCCCATCAGAATTCTCCAAATGATACAGCCTAGCCCAAGAAACTTCAGAGAAAATGGTCACTTAATGCAGGGGTTTTGCTTCTTTTTGTAAACACATCAAGGGCCACAGGATAGTTTTGTTGTATCCTATGTCCAGGGGAGTGTGTCAGGAGTGGACACTGCTGTTTGGTATAGATGAGGCTCTGATACAGGAGAAGCTCTTCCAGATGACTCAGGTTGACCCTGGCCACATGCACACGTTGTGTCTTGGGTCTTCCTGTGTTTACTGGGATGGTGATGATGGGTGGTGATTGTGGATGTAACTTTAGAGGATGAAGGAAAAGTTGTTTAAAACAGGGAAAGCATCCACTTTGGGACTGGTACTGGGCTGTCCATCTGTGACATGGGAAAGTTGTGTATACAGACTGACTTTGCATCAGTAGCTCTTTATCCCTTTAGTGGCTAAACCAAGAGCAGTGTTTCCTTGGTCAGCTGCTGCCTCCCAAGTACCAGGCTGGCTCCACACACAGGAGTGCTGGAGCCTCAGCCTTTCAGAGATGGTTGCCCTTAGTTCTGCCCTGGGCTTAACTTCAGTGAGATTTTTTTACATGCAGAAGCTCTGTCATGCCTGACACAACAAGAGCGTTGCAGAACTGTTACTTAACTACCTGGTGCTCCCCACTGCCCTCCCTTGATCTGCCTTCCTCCTGCTTAACCTCCATCCTCATCCTCATGTGCCTAGATCTGGACTCATAACTAGTTGAGAAAGATTGTCCCTTTAATGAGGAGGCAGTGAAAGGACTCACTTAATACTTGTGCTCCCCCTGTAATCCTTCTGAAAAGGCATCCCTTGGGGCATGAGCAGGTAGATGCCAGCTTGCTAAACAATTTAACTGGATCCTAACACAAGTAATTAAAAGGTGCTCATCATCTTTCAAGGGTAACCCTGTGGTCAGAACTGGGCATTGGTGCTTCTCAGAAACAGTAGGTCTCATGTGGGATAAATAGTCCAAGTAAAGTCTTCACAGCCTCAAGGATAAAGTTGGCTGATAGCAATGCATTGTGGAAGAGATTTGCTTATATTGCTGTTTGTGCCTCCACTTCCTAAACAAACTTACAAATCGTGGGCTGGCTCGCAAGCATGAAGGTTCAGATTTTGTCCTCTTGTGGGTGTGTGTATCAGCTCTGGGTTGACAGGGATGTAGCTAAAACTGAGGAAAAATGGATGCAGCTGTCCATCCTAATGATTTCCAAAATGCTTTGGGGGTGTGTGTGGTGAGGATGTGTAACTTTAAATGTGTTACAGTCTTAATGGAAATTTAACTTGATAAAGTATTTATGCCTTCACTGTGGAAAAATGCCTTTATTGTGTGTGGTGTTTTCAATTTGTGAGTCAGTATCATCATTTTACAAGGTTGCTGAGAAAAGTGCTTTTGCTGAGGAAGCTCTGGCAATGGGAGCCTTGGTGGTGTGTTTGTTCATTTTTTTTAATTTTCTCCTGAAATTAATCACTTGTTACTTTGCTTTTGGTTTCCAGGGTCTTGGTTGGTGCTCCGAAGGCAGAATCTAAATACAGCACCTCTGTTCAGTCCCCAGGAGCAGTGTTTAAATGTCGAGTCCATACCAATCCTGACAGAAGATGCACAGAACTGGATATGGGACGAGGTAGGTAGTTATGATGCTTTGGGACAGATGGAAGGAACCAAAAAAAATCCAACCCATATGGCTAGCAATGCTTCTGCCAGCTTCAAATTGGCCCCAAAACACTGACAAGGAGTCATCAGCCTTTCTGATGGATTTTGAGCAATGGTAGCAAAAGTGTCTTATTCTCTTCAGCATTACAAAATAACATCCCACCTCGTACTGGTGTCCTCCCAGTGGCCTTGCTCGCTCTTTCCAACAAGTAACCAGGTAAAGGTGGATTTTTCCCTGCTTACACTAAGCTGCTGTCTTTTCTTCACCTGCTTCAGTGTAACTTTGCAGTGTGTTGGTGGCTATACGAGTGGTTTGGAGTGCTGCTGCCTGCTCCAGGCAGTGCTGAAGTAAGGGTGCATGAGATGACCCGAGGTGGTGCAGGAATGGCTTCATGATGCGTGGGGTTATTAGTAGTCCAGTGATCTGTGGGTTCCCCCATAATGCAGCAAATCATTCCTGGAGTTTGCTCTTTGTGATGAAATGCTCTCAGTAAGAGATGTACGCTATTGCACTTGGTCAGGATTGACTTCAGTTTCTCCGGTGTGCTGTCTGAGTCAGAGGAAGGTGGAGTCCTAAAGTAAAATTCTAATTTAAAATCTCATGCTGGATAATGATGGTGAAGATTGAAGCCTTTTAATAGTTTGATTTTCTTGGTGACATGTTGCTTTCTCTGCCTGTAAAAAAAGTGATGTTAGTATTGTTCATCTTTTCATACTTATACCGAGTCAAGTAGAATTTCTGTTCATGAAGCTTACATGTGTTAAAACAGCATTTTGGCTAAGTGATTTGTCCTGCTACTGTAATGTAAATTATCATGGATTTGTCTGACAGGACAGATTTGCCTGACAGGACTAAAGATTTCGTCCTCTTTTTTTTTTTAAGTGCTCCCTATCTCATTTGCAAGAGTAATTTTTGCTTTAATTGCATTCTGGAGGCAATCTGATGTCTCTCCCATTTACTTGATCATTTGGTGGTTTATTCAAGTAGAGCTGTGGACATGCTGTAATAGCTGCTGGCTGTTGGGGACAGGGTCTGTCAACTATGTATGTGTGTGGTGTCTATTAGGAGTGAGAGCATTGTCCTGATTAATGCATTCAAGAACTAATAATCAGGAGGAAAGTAAAGCGCCATCGGATGTTTAAAGGGCAGTCTCTTTACTTGTCAGGATTCTTTGGTGGGTATTTAAAACTCATGCTTCCTTGCTTTGCTGCCTTTACTGTCTTTCTGTAGGCAATTCTCGGGGCACACCCTGTGGAAAGACCTGTAAAGAAGACAGAGATGATGAATGGATGGGTGTGAGCCTGGCTAGACAGCCAAAGGCTGGTGGAAGTGTGCTGGTAAGTCCATACTTTTCTTTGATCTTGTTAAAACTGTTGCTGCTGTCTGATTGTAATGGTAAGCATGTCAGGATTAATGTGTTTGGCAGTGACTGACTGAGTCCAGAGTAAGAGGCAGCAGATTCTATAGTCTCTTCCTTCAAGCAGAAGGGAAAGTGAGCCCCCAGCCCGAAAATGCAGTTTATAGAGGGAAGATTCCAAACCATCACATTTGACTCGTGTCACCCAAGGGCTTCTTCCTAAACCTGAGAGATTATATCTTTGAGCTGAATAAATGGAACTTTGTCTGGGAGGTACCTACTAGTTTGTTCTTTTTGTAGTTTGCCTGTGTTTATGTAGGGAATATGCTTATTTTCCTTGAACATATGTATTACATGTCAGAACTTACAAGGAAAAATGTAAAATGAGTCTTTGTGGCTGTATTTTTTATTTATTTATATTAATTTCCTATTATCAGAGTAATCCTGACAACAGTCTAATTCTAGACACTGCTCTTTGTGAGTAGAAAACTTTCAGTTGACCCCATCTTTCTGGTGAGACAGGGGACTGCCCTGGTACATGGCATCAAACTATCAAAAAGCTGCTAGTGAGAAAGATCTTGTACAGTGATTACTGTGCCAACCACCTGTGTAAGGCCAGAGGACAAAGCTGCTTCCCACAAAGGTATTTTTTTTAATATGTGCTTACAGTCCAAATGGTTATGCCCCAAATGCTTGCACACCAACTTCCCTGTGAAGGGAGCAGGTGGATTTAATACCTTTATGTGACAGTACTGTGATATTTTATCCCATCATCTCTTTTGGTATACAGCTTGCCAGTGTTATAGGGGCTAGCTTTACTTTTTTTGGATTTCTTAAGTGTGGTCAGGACTAGAGGAGGAGGGGAGAAAAAGAGATATAAATAACATACCTTATAAACATGTACTGCAGAGCACAAAATTAAGGCGTTCATGGATAGTGTAAGCTATTCATATTTTCAAGGGTTATCCTGAGGTATATGTGTGCTCAGTCCTGTGTAACAACTGAGGAGTAACTTGCACTGAGGATAACGCTACCTCAAAACACAGCATCCTCTTCATTGTCCAGTCATCAGGCTGAACTAGACAAAGTCATCCTAATCCATTTTTAGAAGGTAGCTCATACTCTTTTTTAGGCAAACATTTTTAGGCTGAAACATTTTTGTCAATGTTATATCTTAAGAATAATGGTTTTGTGTATTTTGGTTCAAAGGGAAACAGGTTGCAGCTGATGCTTGGAGGTCATTTCCCCAGACAGAAGCAGAAAATTAAGCGAGTGCTGGTAGGGCAAAAAGCTGGGCAACCACCAAGAATGGGGCTGTTTGCTGGCTGGCTGAGTGGAAGCTACAAGGGTGAGAGACATGGGCAGGCTGTGAGGCCCTAAACTGGGGCTGAAGGGATAGAATCTTCACACATAAAGGAGGTTAAAAGTGAAATGTAGCTAAAGTAAAATACGCAGCTGGGGGTGTGCTTGTGTCAGTGCAGATTAAGCTAGTAAAATGTCTCCACAAGTGGCACTGATTTAAAGCAGCCCTAACGCAGCCTTCTGACAAGATTATGCTGTCCCTCACCAAGTAGATCATGTCTAGATGCTTGAGGATATTTAAATATATAATTCTCATTGATATTTATAACCAAAGCACTGGCTCTTCAACTGCTAATTATATATCTGTGCACATCTTCGTGCCTGGAATGAATGCATGCAGATTCCTTTTTGGATGGAAATTACCTGGCTGTTTCAGGTCATTGTTATTCTGTTTTGGGATAACTTTTTACTGAAAAAGATTTGTGACTTTCCCATGAGCAGATGGCTTTTAGTACATGTGCTCTTATAATTTTAAGGATCAGTATTTCTTTAAAATGTAACTTTTCTTTGAAGCCCCTTTGAGAAACTAGTGTTCTGAGAAAACATGCCTAAATGTGCGTTCCTAGACGTATTTGCCAAATTTTTAGTTTTTTAACAAAATTACTAACTAACATGAGTGAGTCTCTTTAGTTAGGAGTGTGTGCAGTCTATTGTAAGACATTACAACTCTATTTACTGCATTTCTTCCGGGAATTCCTTTAAGTCAGACTAATATCTTTGTGGTCAATAGCCCTGGATGAATTTTTTTTTTTTTTTTGCATAAGTAAGTGTACTCGCCTGTGTGAAATATTCATGCTCTTGAGGTCCTGTGTTAGATTAACTAGTTCCACAACTTAACTGTAGATTGTATAAAGAAGTTGTTGCTTTTGCTTTGAAACTGATTAGTGGCCTAAATTTTTCTCTTATCAGCCTTCCCCAATTGCCTGATAAGAGTACCAGCTTTAGCGGAAAGGGGCAGTAGGGAAGGTGAGGAGTGTTCCAGGGGGCTTTAGCTAGTGTTTGGTAAAGTGTGGATTGTGTTTGAGCCCATATTGTGCCAGGATGTTACTAAATCAGAGTTTTGTGTTTGTGTGACAGACTAAATAGGAAAGCATCAGACAGTGAGAATGTGAAGAAATGAAGAAGTAAGATTAAATAAGAAAGCTTCCTTTCCTCAGATATACTATCAGTCCATCTTTGCATTAATCTCAGTACTGCAGTAATACAGCTGAGATTGCTACATCTTTCCAAACTGAAACAGTGAAACTCCTCCTTTTACTTTTTTGGGAGAGGAACTGCATTATGATTTGGAGATAAGCCACATCCTTCAGTCTTGCTCTTCCTAAAAACCTGCCACATCTGTCATTGTGTTGCTCTTCCTGTGGTGCAAAGCCCACGGCTGCAACATTGAAAAGAGCCAAGTGTCTGCAGTTCTGAAATGGCCTATTCATTATATTGGGGTAATGCAGTGTCAGCCATCAATAGATAACTCGGCTTGCTTTGTTCAGAAGCATTTTATTTTGCTTCAAGATTTAGCATAATTTCTCCTCTGTTCCATGGTAGAGCTGGAGCCTGTGCCCTGGCAGCAGCTGCTGAGTACCAAAGCGTGCTGATGGTTTCCTCGTTGCACGTAGCTTGCATCTAAAATAGGGTGCATAGACTGGCTGTCAGTTGTTTGCAATCACTTCAGGAAAAAAAAACCAACACATTAAAATTTGCTCCACAGCATCAAATTCAGGTGACTCATCTCTATTCCAAAGACCTCTTCAGACATGTGCTGTCGAAGAGGGAAGGCTCTGGACACCTTTGGTAGCACATTATCTTGCCTCAGCAACATTGGATGATGTGGCGACAGTGTATTGTAATCAACTCTAAATGCTTTTGGGAAGACAGGAAAACCAAAAGCAGCTGTGAACAAGCTTTGTCGTGGCAGAGAGACAAATGTGCTCATTTCCTAGCTGCAGAGAAATGAATTTTGAAGAGGAAGAAGAACTCCTGTTCATTGGGAAATGTCAGATTCTGTAGCTGTGGCATGGGGGAGTCTGGTGAAGCCCTGACTCAGATAACCGAAGTGGAGCTCATCCTTTGGAGGTCCACAGACTGAGGCAGTCAGTGGTAAACTATAGTGTGCCTGAATACACATCATGATGAAGGTACAGAAAAATGATCATTAAAAAAAAAGACAAACAAAATCCAAGTCCTAACAGAGTAGGTAAGTGTGCCCAGAAGTGCTAGACTGAGCCCATAGCTTCCAATTGATTTTGAACATACTTTTCACCCAGCAGCTTTTTCTCTCCTTACATTGTTCTATCTTTCTTGGCCTCTGTACCTCACTCCTGAGCAAAGCCACCTGCTTGTGACGAAATGTCTAGGAGAGTCCCCTGAAGTTTCTGAGATACAAAACATGAGGGAATTTACAATCCCACAATCCTTTATGTTTCCATAATTTTAAAAAAATACTCTTGTTCTGTTTCCTTTTAAGTTTATATCCAGAATTGGGATTGACTTGACTGTCACTTTAAAGGTATTTGTCTTTATGGCACTGTCTTTGAAAGGGCTGTGCATGTGTATGTTTCTGCTCAGAGCACAGATCCATCAGGAGAGAAACTATTTCCCAGTTATGCTGAAAACAATAATTTCATATGCTGTTTGTTTTTTTTTTGCCGTTGAATTTTGAATGAGTAGTGCATAGGGATTGAAATCATAACTGAGGCTCCTTAAAGCACATAAGGGAGTCTCTAAAGCTGCTCTTTGCAGTACTTCTCACATGCATTTGGCTGTGGAGCAGGGTGCCCTCAGAAGTATCCTTTGCATCACAGCTGATAGCCTGCCCCTCACAGTGTGGTGTAGAGCATTCCGAAGCTCCCAGAGCCCTTCACTGTCCCTCTGTGATCTTAAGGAGGTATGTGCTTCTCCTTGAGCACTGGAAGTTAGGAAAGCAAAAAATATCAAACTCCAAGTGTAGCACAGCTAATACAGAACAGGCTTTTGCACAACTGATTTTGCTCTCTGGGAGTAGTATTACCTGTTTATGTCTTTTTGGAGATAAGGGGCCTCTCTCTGGTGGTGGCTGGATTTGAGCTTCCCAGTGGTTGATACACTTCCCACATCCTTTACTGGAGAGGTGACACAACTGTGCCTGCATTATGGATGGATATAATTTTTAACAACATTGAGGTGCTGAGGCAGAAAGGTGGGGTAGCACACAGGGATGGAAGACTGAGGGTATCTCATTTGGGGGGGATGCAGTCAAATGTGCAGTTCGTGAAGGGGACTGATACAAAGCTTTGAGGAAAAGTTGAAAGTATGTGGAGGAGATGATTTGTAGCATAGAGGCTACTCTGTTTGCACCGGGCCAAGCCTTGAATGATACAAATGGACACATCTACACTGACTTCAGAGTAGACTTATACCAGCTGGAGATATGGCATGTGCTCAAGTTCAAAGCCCTTGCTGTTTTACATTTTCTTTCCTTTTATTCCAAGTTAACCCTGAGCACAAGGCAACTTGTGGTTTGTCTGGCAGCAGTGCAGTGTTAACTTTTGGAGCAAATGAGTTGTGGGAAGTTGTGAACCAGGCTCTACATTGCTTGCATGTGTACCTGTGCATGGCAGTTGTACTGAGCAAGTGTGCTGATGAGTCCTGAGGTTTTTCAGGATGGTTTCATTCTTCACTGTGAAGGGAAAGGCACTTCAACCTGTGCAACTCATCTGCACCTTGGTTAATGTTGCCACACTTGTTGCTACAAAATCTCTGGCATTTTCACTTAAATTCATTACCAGTAAGCAAGGCTCAGCACATCTATCACCAGAAACAGAACTGCCTTTCCTGCTAGAAAAAAAACTTTGACTCACACATGCATCCTCTGGTGGGATAAGTTTCTAATATAGTCTTAATAACTTTCTAAGTATTCTCAATGTCTTTATTCCTGTTTTTCACTTTTATGTGGCTTGACTATGTTCTGTTAGTGCATCTTTAGGTAGAAAAGCTTTGCTATCTGTGAGGATTCATGCACAATAAGAGATCCTGGAATCTCCAGCATGAGCTCTGATATGCTCTGAGCCATCTTGTTTTCCTCGTCATGCACATGTGAATACTGAGATCTGAGCTGCCAGGTCAGGTAGAGTCATGAACTGCAGAAGAGAACAGTCAGAAGATACTTTATGTAGAAAGAGTAGGATGTAAGGAGAACACAATGGGGTTGTGGGGCAGAGGTGGTGCTCAGTGGTCCTGTTCATGCGTGCTCTGCCTTGGTCAGAGGGCTCTCCTATGACTGTGGGCTAATAACCCATGTGGTATGATCTATTCAGGCATGTGCACACCGCTGGAAAAACATCTACTATGAGACAGAGTACATCTTGCCCCATGGCTTCTGCAACATCATTCCTCCCAACTTGCAGTCCAATGGGAGACAGCTCTTACCCTGCTATGAAGGTAAGGATTGTGGGGCCAGGAGTGGGGCTTACCTTCCTTGCTACACTAACTGCTACTGTAACTCACTACTATTGATATTTTTCTTTTTTTTTTTTTTTTGGTAATGTGTGGCTGCCCAGTGGCAGTTGGATTTTAGATGAAGTTGGGAGAGTAGCACAATGACTGAACGGACCCTGTGAGTGGTAAAGTGCATGGTTGCACTTTACTGGAGGAATAATAAGTTTCTGAACTGTGTTTTTGAGACAGCAGCTCTCTCCTAACGTAAATAATGAGAAGATATTGATCTGAACTTGGCCTCTAATGCTTCACTGTGGCACAGAGTAAAAATTCTGAATTACATTGCAATCATGAACCAATTTACCTATCATATAGAAACATTTTAATTTTTGCACTGTGATTTGTCAGGGAATTAGAAGACGGGGCAGGGGGAAGGCTTGCTTTGCTCACTTTGGGGTACTTCTGCAACAGTTTATACTAAATCGCTGCTGTGTTTTGGGTGCTATAAGGTCCCTGTTTGGATCCTCCAAAGGTCTGGGTGTGAGATAGATGCAGAGGGAGGGCTCCAGCTCTGAACCATGGCTGCGCCTCTTGGTTCTGCTCCAAATCCCATGTGGCAGTGTTTTAATTTCCCCCTCTCTGGTGCATGTGAGACTCTTGGATCGTGTTTCCTTTTTTAAAGACTTCAGGAGGCAGTGTCTTCTTGGCCAAGAGCAATTAACAAAACTAGATGCATGAGTGTATTGTTAGGTAGAAGATAGGCTATCTTGTAAGATTTCTTGGCCTTGAGAGAAACATTTTGGGGAAAGCACCCACTTACTTTCTCCTTTCTGTCCTGGGCATCATCTTTCACTTCTTGATTGTAGCAGCTTGAGGAAGCATGGGTGTTTGGAGGACAAGATGTTCTTCTTGTGGACAAGAACTCTGATTTTATTTACTTATTTGCTTTTATCCATTTGCCCTCCTGTCCAAAGTTGGCAACAGCCAGCAGCACACTTGCTGCTGACATTAATATGTGGGAGAAGGATAAGGCAGAGGATGTCCTGGAAAGTTTCTCTGCTGCTGGCAAGTCACCGTGTCCTAGCTGGGTGGCCTGTGAAGCCAGCTCTGTGACAGAACTCTGTCCTCTTCATACCCGCTCTTTCTTCTGAGGTGGCTCCTTACCTCCCTCTGGGCTTTGCCTGGGGATCTGACATTGCAAACCCACACACCTTTTGAAGATGGCATGCACTTGTGCATTGAGCATTTCCCATCCCTGAAATTGGTCATTATTTGATATATGAGAAGTTTTGAGGGTCTTCGCCCAGCCATGCCAACTGCTGGGCATCAGAGTACAAATAAGCTTTATAAGCCTTTCTGTTGTGAGCACCGGCCTACTGTATTTGTACTTCCCTGTCCCCCTGCCCTCCTTGTTACTGTCAGCAAAATCAGGATAAGGCCTCATGCTGAGGTCATACACTGCAAATCATCCAATATTAACTTTATGGTTCATATACACACATGAGGATGCTGCTGGGGCTCCCTCCAAGCCTGTGTCACTGCTCCTGCACTGCCTTAAACTTGTCTTTCCTGGAGCCATGACAGGGAAGTGGTTTCTGGAGGAGACAAATGGCTTGTGTTTATCTGTGCGTCATGTCTTTGGAGTAAAACTGTTGTTAATCAGACAGGATATTTGCCAGGAATTGCTAGAAAATAGAAATGTGTGGGCCTAGTATGTGCAGAGCAGCCAGTGGAAAGTTGGCAGGGTTGGTGCAGTAAGATGCTGGCTTAATTTCACTGCATGCTAAAGTGAAAATTGAAAGTTTGGGAGTGATTTCCACCCACCTCCTTCACCCCATCAGACATGAAATCACAGTGTCATGAGGGTTGTCTGCATTTGTTTCCTCCTGAATCTTTAAATTTCTATGAAACAAGCTCAAAGAGAGAGATAACTGTGGTGTGTCACACAGTTCATTGTTTAAGGTTTGCTGTGAAATAAGTTTGCAGTCATCCTTGTAACTTTTTTCCTTCATTTCCTGGAAGGAGCAGAAGAAATTTTCCTCCACTGACACTAAGGAACAGCCCAAAGCATCAAGTTTGAAGTGCTTCTACACTGAGAGCCTCTGCGGCCATTGCTGGGAGGCTACCAGACCCATGGCTGCAAACCCTGCACTGGGACATGTGCCTTTGCTTGATGAGATTCCAGTGTCTTGCCATGTGCAAATAGGTGTAGACTGTAGCATGCTCACTTCCAGAAGCCCTGTTGTTAGTGCCGCTAAGGCAATAAGCCTGAACTGGTGGAGGGTACAGGCCAACTGGGTGCGTATCAGTCTCCATCCATGGAGGAAATGGAAATTATCTAACTAGATGGTAGTGGTGCAACAGCATAGTAGTCTCAGTCCATCTTATTCTTGTCTGGCTTCCCTGAAAGGATTGACAGAAGTCTAGAAGCAATTTAGAAAAAAATGAGATCAACAGCATGCCTAATAGTTAAATGCAATCTCTCTCAGTAGGAACTAATCTGGTTTAGATGAGCTGGATGTCATTTGTAGTATAGCTGACATATGGAGCCACAGTTTTCCAGTCAATGCTTTCAATTTGTTATTTTTCCCATAGTTTTAATGGCTTTCCAAAAAAGGAAGCTGCCTCTTCATTCCCCCAATGCTTTCAGTTTGCAAAGAAGGGTAACTGTGTGTACTCTGAGAGACAGTCCAGCTAATGGGGAGAGCTGGAGTGCTTTCCTCCTCCTCTGTAGTAAGAATTAGTGGTGGCAGTGGGGAAGACTGATGGTCTCTTTGGTTAGTAAATAAGGGCAACAGCACATGCTCACGTGCCTTGCTTCCAAAGGGGTAAGTTCTCCCACAGAGTCCAAACCACTTTTGATTTTCTAGAAACCATCAAAACATCCCTGCTTTGTGGTGGAAATTCAGTATCACAATGCTATGTCAGACAGATTATTACTGTTTCTTCGTAGAGTAGTGAAACACTAAGATAGGAGTGAAAAAGCTTTCAGTGCAAATGATAGTTTACATCTGTGAAGATGGTAGATACAGGATTTTATTGCACTCTGGAGCTTAACTTATATTATCGCATCAAAGTCTTAGAGACTCGCAAAGAGGTTTGTTCAGAGAAGTTGACGAGCATTGGCCTTCAGAATTAAACAACACCACACATCAAAGCTTATTCCTTTTATTTATGCATTGTTTTATCCAATTACTCCTTCCTCAGCCTCACTTCTCTTGTAACTTGAGATCATCCTGGCTACAAACCACTACCATCTTCTTCTCTTCATGGCACATCTTCAAAGTTGCACAGGCAGCAACCTCCTCCAAACTTACTGCTTTGCTATCAGCTGTTGCTGCAGCGGTTTAGTGGCTTGCAGTCTCTGTAATCAGTGGTGCACAGCAGTTTGCAGTAGACAAGAAAGAACAATAAAGAAGTGTAGAAAAAAAAAATCTATCCATGACAGCAGTTATTGCCTGGGGCTACCTGGAAAATAATGAATCTAAACCTCATGCAAATGTTGCTGTTCAGGTGTGCAAAAGCTGTGAGCTGATACAATAACCGCACGATTTCCATCTAGTTGATTGCTTCACTTTGTGGATTGTTGGATGGATGGCTGTGCCGTACGAGTGACAGGTATCAGTACTATGCGCTGAAGTGGAGGGGAGGTAGAAGCAATCTTTGTTTTCATCCATTTTGGGTTTATCCATTGCTTTTGAGAGACAGACTGGCCCTTGGGAGGAGACAGAAATCTGTGATGCTGAGACACGACTGTCCAGGATGGATGTCTACTCCTGGCTGTGACCATGGGTGCATGGGTGGAAAGCAACCCCGCTTGAGTGTGGAGGCAGGCATATGCCACTGCAGATGGGAGTTAGGTGGGCTGACAAGGAGGAGTGATTTTGTGCTGAAAGGGTTAGGCTGGAATCCAGGAGCCCAGTGTCTGCCCATACTGGGCTGCTGGCTCCCTGGGGAGGACTGCATCTGTCTTGATCCCCCCAAAATGTGGTCCTGATCTCGTCTCTGTGTCAGTAGAGGTTTAAATTCTCAAACGGCCCCGATGTCTGAGGTGTTTGGGACTCTGCGCTTCCACTTGTAAAATGTCACTGTCCTTGGTAGTGAAGACTGAAGCAAAAAAGGCTTGAGTAATGGAAGAAAGCAAGTGTCACCCCAGTCTTCCAAACAGGCAGCTGAGAAGGCATTCAGTATTTCAGCCTTCTCTGCAACCTCTGTTGCAAGGGTCCCTCTTTTCATACAGTAGTAGGCTCACATTTCCCTTAGTATCCTTTTGTTGTTGATGTGTTTGAAGAAACCTTTCTTGTTATCCTTGATGTTCTTCATCAGATTTAATTCCAAATGGGCCTTGGCCTGCCTCATTGCATTTCTGTATAGGAGTGGGAATCCTGCTGTAGCAAAGGCAGGGCCTTTAGGACATGCACAGAATTATTTTTCAGGAAATCCTAGAGGGATAAAGCTCCTCTTCTCCTTGGCTTTCTGAATTAAAAAAATGTTCACATCAATAAAAAAATATTTTTTCCCCAGGCAAGGACTGCGTGGCTCTATGAGAGACTGTATGTGGAGAGCTAGCTATTCAAAGCCCTAGCAGTTTCTGAATAGCTATGGGCAAATATGGGCTTCAATTCTAAGTGGAATTGTTATCATGCATTCCCGCCCCAAAACCCAGCTGTGTTCCGGCCTTCCTGGTCTGCTGAGACACACATCTGCTTTGGCAGGACCCTGCCTTGGCCAAGGGCATTAGGCATTTGGATTGTAATTTGTGGATCAAGTCTCTGTTCTGCATGGTCTCTCCAACTGAACCTCACCCTGTGCAACTGGTATGACCTCAGCAAATTTCTGAAAATCTGAACATATGGTATTAGGAAGAGACTATATATAATATCAAAGGGAGAATGGGGGTGTGTGTATGTATGTCTACATACAGTGTTTTGAAAAAATTCTCTAAGAACATAGCAGTTGTTATAATTAATTCCTTTTGATCTTCAATAAGATAAAATTCAACTCAAAGGAACTTGCTTGGTTCCAAGGAGGCAATTTGCTTATTGATTTTTATCATTTAGCAGTGAGTTTTAATGGGGCTTTTAAAATAAGAAATATAAAAAAGTTTCACAATTATCACATTATATGGTAATTTTTTTTTTAATGATTGTAATACACAGGAAGTGGTAATATTATGGTAGATATTGGAAAATAATGCTCTGGAAAAAAACTCCAAAGGTTCTGATCTGGCTCTTAAGTTTCAAATGCTCCTAAGCTGAAAATGTTTGAATTAAGGCAGGGCAAAAAGTGATTTTCTTTTTTTCCTCTTTTCTCCTCCTCCTTGCCCTGAATTTAATGTATTTCTGAAAATAATTTTTTCCTCTTCATCAAAATGATAAAAACCTTCCTCAGGTTTGACAGGGCAAACAATTGCTACGTAAAATACAGAAACAAAACCTATAGGATGCTGGTGGGTTCCCTGTGAACTGGGAGCTTTGAGCAAGTGGCCATGAAAAATAGTAGATCTGAGCATCCGGCAAATAAGACTGTTGTTTGATCATGTAGAATCACAGTGTCCTTTCCTCACTCGCTGTCTTCTTCCTCCTCACTTCTTCCTGTCCTGAAACACTCGTCCACCAGAAATGTTTCTTGGGGCTTTGGTGACTGTCATTGTGGGGGCAGATCACTTTATTTCTCTGAGGTAGTAATGGGCCTGTGGGTTAAACCTCCTGGTGCAGGGTCAGTCACACACAGACATGTGTATCACCTTTTGCTACCCCCTTTCCAACTGGCAGATGTCTGCCACAGATGGAAGCCTCTTCTGATACACCTTTACTGGGGCGATGCTGCTGCTGTTATCGTGCTGCTGTGAAACTGCCTGTTTAGCATCTCCCTAGGCAGCACTCAGGCTGTCTCTCCAGTTGGCCCCTTGCTTTGCCTGCCGATGTGAGTGAGTGTGCCGCATGGTGCATGTTGGTGGCAGATCCACTAATAAAACCTGAGAGCCCTGCATGCTGGTGTCTCTCCAGGCTGTGTGTGTAGTGAGGCAGATGGCTCAGGTGGAGAGTGTGTGCTGTGCCAGGGATGACCACAGTTTGTTTTCTTCCCTTCTCCCATCCAGAGTACAAGAAGAAATATGGGGAGGAGCACGGTTCATGCCAGGCAGGGATCGCAGGCTTCTTCACCGAGGTGAGCAGAGGTGCATGCATTGGAAAGGGTAGAGGTTGGCGAGCAGCTCTCCCACTGCATGCCCTGGGGGGAGACCCCTGAGCATGGCTTGGACAGCGGGCTGAGTGCTGAGCATGGTCCCTTCCTGCCACCAAACACCCTTCTGCCTTGTCTGGCTTCCCAGGCATCTGCATCTTGCCCAGTGGTTCATACACTATGTGTATGTCTCTCAAGGCCTGTGGACAAGAATGTATGAATTGACTCTGGGAATGTTCTTATTGTGTACATCCCAAAATTTGCATGGAGCTATTTCTGTGTCTCTTGTTAACTCTTTACTGTAAGTGATGATGTACAACAGTCTTCCCTGAATCATTTTGTTTATGTATGTGTACGTGTGGGTAAATATAATGTGCATACATACAGAAGATAAACACTTTTTTTTCAGTTCTACTACAGTTCCTTGTTGCAAAAAGGTGGAGAAAAAACAGCATGGTCAAATATATGGTCCAGAGCTGTTCTAAATACCTGACCATATTCTTTCCTGGACAGAAGTCTATCAGCCATGTTTTAGTTATGTCAAGGATAAATTTGTTCCCTTATATATGCATGATTTTTTTAGTCGATGTTTCAGGATTACAATTTTTTTACTTTTTTTTTTTGGTTTTGGTTTTTGTTTGGTTTTTTTTTTAGATTTTTGTTAAGAGCCTACACTCACTCCTGATTATATATGCACTGATTTGTGGAATGTATTGTCCAGGCTGATACAAACAGAATAAAGGTCTTCTCTCTCAGAAATCTCCTTCTTCCATTTCAGTAAACTGGGATGGCAGGCAATGTTGCCACAGGGGCACTATCTGGTAATTGGATGTTCAGCTAGCAGCAGCTGTTTCCTGGCTTGTCTGCTCTGTCCATCCTGTTTCTGTTCCCATGCTTAAATCCTCCTTTGCTACCCTAGTTCAAAAGATATCTTTGAACTTTTATTGCTTCAGCCTGATGGCGGCAGGAAATGCAGATAAATGGCTTTTTGGGTCAAACAGGCAATCCCTTGCCATATATTCAGTGCTGTGGATGGTAGTTGTTCCCATCAGTAAACAATCCCTTGACCTCACGGGCAAGGCCCCTTACAAGGAAAAAGCTATTTCAAAGCACATCCTGCTCTTTAGTTGGGTTTGCAGTCCTATCCCTGCAGGAGAATCCCTTGTTTAACATTTCCCCCCCATCTAGAACTGGTCACCTGAAGGGGACCTGGATGTGGTAGCATTTTCCCACAAGGATGGTGTCCACCCATGGCTTTACACTGAATGGAGATGTGAGGCAAAGCAGCTGTCCGTGTGTCTTTGGGGATGGAGAACTTACCTAGGCTTAATGCTCCTCCGGCTTAATGTGGTCTCTTGTTGGAGGTATTTAAAACCACATGCAGGAATAAAGTTTCCCTGCTAGGATGCTGGATGCTTTGGGGCAACATTTTCTGAATCTCTCTTGTGTACCTTAGCTTTTGACTCATATTGGATCAAACTTTGCCTGATTTCTACAGTTTTTTAAAATGATAAATCATGCTGGTTTTCTGTAGTGAACCCAAGCCATTTTATGATTCTGTGATGATTCTATAGCCAGGTTGTCTCTCGAAGACCACAGCACAGGCAAAATGTTCCAACTATGACATAATGTACACCCTGCTTGTTGAGCACATGGCATCTCTTTAGCTTCATAGTTGTAAAATCAAAATCAAAAGCCAGCATCGGGACATGATCTGTAGCTGAGTGGTGCGTGTGGGTGGGCTGGAGTGCTTCTATCTTTGGAAAGGCAGCAGATGGAGAGATTTTTGGGACACCTATGTTAGCAGGGATAAGTTTGATGGTTAGTAAAACTGAGGAGGGTCTTCTGTTGCAGCAGAACAGCTGAGCAGAAGTGGACCATAAAAGGGCAATGTGTCTCTAGGGTGTATGCAGTGACCTCCATTTTTGGGAAGAAGGAATCTGTACACAGAATGAAGGTTTTTATAGATGGACTTCTAATTGGTGTTTTAAGTAAATATCCTGTCCCTTCTCCATTAATGTGCAAAGCATGAATTTCTGTCCAGTTTTGGTTGTTATTTTTTCCTCCCATCCTTTCCCCCACACACTTCCATTTTTCTTGTTTTAGGAGCTGGTCATCATGGGGGCACCAGGATCGTATTATTGGACAGGAACTGTCAAAGTACTGAATCTCACTGACAACACATATTACAAGCTGAATGATGATACCGTGATAGCCAGGCGGTACACATACCTTGGTAAGCAGCTCTCAGGTGCTCACTGTGAGAAGATAGTCCAACAACATATTTCAAGGCTTTGATGCTATAAAGTTGATACTGATTTTTTAACGGTGATGTAGAGTATTTTTATGAAAAGTGTGAAAGGAAGAACATCTGAATTAAAGTGTGTGGCAGTTTGAGCCACATTAGAAATCCAGAATCCAATTTCCAGGCTTCCCCCCACCCCTTCCCACAATTTATCCCAACACCGGAGAGAAACTTTCAGGCCAGAGGCTTCTATAGGGGGAAGGGGAAGTATATACATTTATTTACACAAATAAATACTATACAAACTAAAGGCAACTATACATATATATAGTATTACACTTCTATCAGTCCTTTAAGCCCCTCCCTTTAACTTTAGTCCGGGAAGAGCCTTTCAAGGCTGCTGGGTAACGCAGTCTTTCTCTCGTGGGAGTGTTCTGGGCCCCTGAACACTCCTTAACCAACCTTCAGCTGTTTGTTGCAGTCTTTCTCCTCACCAAGTCCAAGAAAGTAGCTTTGAGTCCTTTCTCCTCGGTCTGCTGTGTGATTCTCTCTCAGTCTCATACCTCGGTTCTGTAGGCTGCTGTAGTGTAGCTTATCAATGTACGCGTCTTGGAATGTTGATTCCTCCTTCAGGTTTTTGGCTGTCCTGTGTTTAAATCACGGCAGAGACATCCTCCGGGCCTCTCTCTTCAGTCCGTCTCCAATTTCGCCTGGGATTCCTTTCCCTGGCTCCGAGCTGTTTCGTCAGCAGCCAGTCCACTTGGCTCTGCTTCAGTGCTGAGCCTTAAAATCCACCCCCCACCAGCCTCAATGCAGTGTGGGGGGGAAAAAGCCCCCTAGCCTTGGCCACAGGCAGCTCGGTCCAGTTATACACTGTCCCAAGTGTCCCGCAGCTACGGGGGGGGGGGAAGAGGGCCTGGCCTCCTCCCTCTTACCTCAGGTGCTGTCAATCTCTTCCTTCACAGCACACACTCCAAATGCTGCCTCTAACTCTGGCCTAGGCAGAGTTGGGGGGCCACAGGGCTCCCCTTCCCCCCTGGAGGGGGAAAGAAGGAGCCCAGCCACCCCCTGGCCTTCTACACCTACAGACAGCAGACACCAACAGAAAAAACACTGCCAGCAGCTTCAGGTGGCTGTGTATATATGATTTTTCAGCAGAAGCGAACAACATGGAGCGTGATTGGCTCTCCAGGGAACACTGCCCTGGCACCCAATCACCTCTGAGCCCCCAACTCTCGGGGGGGGGCAATTTCAAACTATGACAAAGTGTTACTTGTCTGGAAAGAAATATAAGCAAAAAAACCTATGGAATATTACATTTTTCTTTCCTTGTTTTAAAAAAAAAACAGCTTTGCTGTAGCTTTTTGACTGATATAGAAAAGGCTTTTGAACTCAACAGCATGTTGGATTGTAGTGGGCTTCTTAACCTTTCTGCCTTTGCCCTGTGACAGGTAAATTATGTGTCATTAGTTAAACTGCCTGTCTGCTTACACATGCCTTTAAAATGGACTAATTACAGAATGTGTATTCCAGATACAAATTTATTTCAACAAAAATAACACTAAATGTGTCATTGTCAACAAAACGAAGTTGTGAAAGGTTTGGCTATAGGTACATCGTTAGCTCAATTGGTTTTACTTGCTCTAAAACCAGATAATGTCCCTAAAATACTTAATTTAAAGATTTCTGCCTAATCTGCAGTGCCTAAGACTGTTGAGACTTAGAAGGCATTTCAAACAGTGATACTGTTTACAAACAGTTTGATACTGTTTGACTAAAGTCTGGCACTGACCTCCCATTTTCCGCTTAACCTTTAGTCTTTGAAAAAATACCACTTGGAAGGTACTACTAATGAAGGGTGTCTGTTTACCTATTTGCAGACATAAATAGATTTTGCCACTGATAGACAAGAGCGTCACAATTTATGGCAGAAGAGCAAGGCAAATACAAGAGAGCCTTAGAAGGAAAGCTGCTCTACTCATCTTTATATATTATGTTATTATATATTTTTTTAATATATCAAATGAAGCTGAATCTTTGATCTTTCAAATACATTCTTTTTTCTTTGATCTCCCATTTTTCTTCTTGCCTAGACAAAAATCTTTTAAAGCCATTAACTTTGCTGGCCTCTTTGCCTCCTGTCCTCTGCTCTCCCCCCTATCAAAAAGGAACATAATTTTCCAAGCCTTCCTGGGCAGTGATTTTAGGCAAAGGAGGACACTTCTCTCTGGTCCGTGTGGGACTGTTGCTCTTTGACATGATATTTTCCCTGCGGTGATGTGGTCTCCTTTCTCTGGGTGTGCTTGTTCCTGTTTTACTGCTTCCCTCTATTGACTCGCCATTGGCAAACTGATCCCACTACCAGCTCCACATGTCCTTTGCTCATCTTCACACACAGCTTTCTTCTCAGCTTTTGCAAGTGCACTGGAGGGTGTACTGTCTCTTCCCATCCCCATGAGCTTTTGAGCAAAGTATTGGTGCATCCTGAGCAGAATAGTTGTTGAACACTATGTGCAGCCCGATAAGCATGATCCAGCTGGCTGACCTGTTTCTCTGGCTCTTTCCTTTCATGGTTATTTATTAATTTTTTGTTTCCTCTCCCACTCAGGATATGCGGTGACAGCAGGTCATTTCTCTCAGCCAACTACCACTGACATTGTAGGAGGAGCTCCCCAGGATGGAGGCATTGGAAAGGTGTGTCTCTTTACCAAACAATAATGTGGTCAGATTCAACAGGGCAAAAAACGTAATACTGATGCAGTTTCAATATGTATGAGAAGCCAAGAGTTTTTTGTCTACATAGTAATTTTGAAGCACTGAGCAGGGGAGAGGTGAAGTAGTTTGATGAAGTCCTGAAATTTTCTTTACCTGTCCCTCCTGGTGCCTCAAATCCCTCACCCCTCTCTCCTCTCTTTCCCATCCAATCCTTACAATACCCATTTTAGTGAGACACAGACAATGTTTCTTTCATACTGCTTTTGTTTAGGATTTGTGACATTTAGGTATTACTTGAAGCTTTCCTAGAAATGAAAAAACTTTGAAAAGAGAGTTTGTCTTCTGCTTGTTTTCTTCATACATTTGACTGTTTCAGTATTTACTTCAAGGTAACATCTAATAGCATGAAAAGGTACTTATTAGGTACTTAGTTGATGTCATTTTTAAAACTTCGTAATACACTGAGGTTTCGTGGATTAGAATCTAGGTTTTTGCCAGCTGTACTTAGAAATCTTGGAGATAGTCTCTTAAGAAGGAAAGAAACAAAAAAGGTTTTCCTGTAGTCATATGTATGTTCAATGTCCCAAAGATGAAAGCAAGTGTAAGGCTAGTTGGAAGTGGATGGTGAGTTAGGCATGCCTGGTGTTCCTATGCTGAGCTGCTATTGGGGAAACTGGGTGAGAGTGAGCACTGTGACCCCTTAAACTCTTCTAAACTGCAGGTAGAAAAGTGGGAGTGAGGAGAGGGAGGGAAGGGATGTAAAGGATCTGCTTTTTTCCCCTCTTTGTTCAAAATCCAATCCTTTCGGGACCTGCTGCCACCATTTGCTTGAGCAGAGATGTCCTGCAGCCCCCTTCCATCTTCCTCCCTCTGGCTCTCCTGCTCTGTAGTCACATGAGTTGTACCTGAATCATAACAAGGAGCGAGAGGTCTTCAGTACCATCTTCAATACCAGAAACAGTATTCTATTTAGGCAGATTGTTTTTCATGGTAACCATGTCCTGGGGGTAGCAGTGCGAGTGGGGAAAATGGGATAAAATTAGAGGATGAACTTGGTACGTATACCTGATCTGACGTGACTAGGACATACAGGATATAGCAGCATTGCAGTTGTTACTGAGAGGACATGCATGAGAAAGACATAGTTTCCTTATCCCAGGTGTTCTGTTATGGCTGCTGCAATGCACCTTCTTCCAACCTGTTTTCTCTGTGGAACAAATTTAATTTCTGTATTAGGAGAGACGAAAAAAACCCCAGCTGCTAACATTATTCTCCCTCAGCATGGAATGTAGGTAGCAGGAACAAATGGCAAAGTGGCGGTAAGCAGTGCTGAGTACAGAACATTACAATGAGCAGTCCTGTTGTGCTTTCCACACCCTCTAAAAAGCTAATCCTTTCCACTTCCTTGATAGAAAGTGATTAGCATTGTTACACTTTTTCACTGAAAGTAGAGCCAGGATTCTTAATGAGACTTCGTCATTTCTCTGAAGTTACCAAAAGCATCATTATTAAGATTGGGTTTGGAGCTGTGACTGTTGGCAATGTGCTGTCACTGCTAAACTTGCCACTGCAAATGCTAGGAGTTGCTTATATAGAGAGTGATTGTCCAGTAAATCTGTGCTGTGTTCTTTGCTGGAAACAGCTTTGAACTGTCTCACCACCTATTAGTAACTCACCACATGTTCAACAATGTCAAGTGCTTGGCTCCGCCATGTAGCCTTGGAAGTAAGGGATCCTCTGTCCTGCAAACTCTGTGAGCACCTGCTCGGAGGGAGCCTGTCAAATGCTGAAGGAATCTCAAAGGCTGATTTAGCCAGCCTTTATGATGAAGGGAATCCCCTTCTACAAGCCATGCATTTTACATCCTAAATTTTGGTGCAAGATCTGTTCTTGAGCTTGTATTAACACTTTCATCCCCAAGGGTTCCTGATTAAACAGTTTCTCCTGTGGAAACGAGGAATGAGTAGGCTATGTTTGAACAGTTTTCTAATTTACAGGTTGTTTCAGATACAAGCAGTGGAAGTGCCTTGGGTAGTCTGATTGGGTTTTCTTCTCTGACCTTTGCTGAAGCCTCGCAAAGTTTGCAGTGCAGTAATGCAGGCACATGGCCTTGAGAAGGGAACGTTGGATAAGGGAATGGGAACAGGGTTATACCTTCTCAGTTTTTTGCCCTGCTCATTTCCAGACAGTATGCAGATGCCACTTGTTTGAGAGTTAGAAAGTTGCTTTGCTAGGTGCTTTTAAATGCACACATGTGCACATACACACATGCATATGAAAAAAAGTAGGCAACAAGATAATATTCAAGCATTTGTTATGAAAAGAAGCCTGTGATTCATGAGCACAATGGGGAACTCTGTTTCATCTTTTAAAAGAAGACTAAAAAATAAAGTGGTTGTGAAGTTGGATCTTGGCAATAGCAATGGCCATGATCATGATTTAGATATTATTTAGAAAACACCAGTGCTGTACCATTATGTACTTCATAATTAGTATTGGTTAACATTTTTCTTTTTTCACCTTTCAGGTTTATATTTTTAGAACAGACAGACGATCAGGCTCTCTAATAAAGATTTTTCAGGCTTCAGGAAAAAAGGTGAGCATTTATATATGTGTATTTTCTATTACGAGGTAGAGGGGGGAAATAACGGCAGAGTCATCGCAGAGTATCATTTTCATTTCAGTCCTTCATAAGTTGTCAAGCAAATCCTATTTCTTCTTATCCTCCCAGAACAGCTGAAGCTATTGTACAGGTCAGCTGTATGCCCTTTCTTCAGTAGCAGTCAGGACTGCAGTGTCTGCTCAATGCCCATGACTGAATTAGAAGGTCTTACTTGAAAGTGTAATAGCAATTCTCTTTAGTCTTATGTAACTCTGAGACGTGGGACATGGGGCTCCAGGTGAGCAGAGATGCAGAGATTTCCTCTTAGTAGATTAGTAGTTACTGAGAGATGCTGGTAACTTGGAGTTTAATACACAAAGCCCCAACCTCTTTTTCTGTGTCCTGCTGTGACAGAAGGGATACGACAGTTATGCTATTTTGTGGAGGAGCGGCTCCACTGTCTCCACAGATGATGATTTCACTCTTCCCACCATCAATCAGGAATCAGTCCTGCATTCTGCTCTCAGGACTGCTGTCTTAAAGCTGAACTGCCCTCCCTCTCCGTGAAATTTAGTGCATGCTAGTGAGATCCAGCTCCCCCAGTGTGGTGTTATATTTGAATGGGGAACAGCTTGTGTTCTTCATCTGGGGGCTTGCTGGTGCTGTGTTGTAGGGGAAACAAAGTGGACAGTATGTCTAGCTATAGGTAACAACAACAACAACAACTGTCTTATTTGGGAATAGCTCAGTGAGGAAATGATACCCCTTATCTGGGGTTGTCTGTGTTCTTCTGGAAAGAGGGGAAGTACAGAAGAAAAAGATTACTGGTGGCTTCTGGCTCTAGGAAGACCTGCCACCCTTAGAAATACCCAAAGTTGGGAGTGTTATCATATTTTGTTATTTTTTCCCAGCAAGACACAGTTGCAGTCTTTAAAAACTTGCCTGGAATAGGGGAAAACTGCAAGGATGTTTAGGTGGGTGGTGTTACTTGTATTTTAGGGCCTCTCCAAAATTTTACTTTACCACACTAGCAGAATTACAGACATCTTGAAAGGAAAAGACCTCCCAGTTCATCCAGGGCATCTGCTGTGTTTGATTGCATCCTGTTAATTTCTTTCCCTGTTGAGTTTTGAATGTCCCTAAGGATGTGCTTCTGGCTATTCCTCAGCCTAGTAAATAGAGCTATCAGGAAGTTTTGAGGTTTCAGCCAAAACCTCCCTTTTCAATTTAATTGCTTTACTCTTATATATAACTTAACTAATCAAGTATTTACATCCTTCAAGTACTTCTAGGCTGTCATCTCCTTCATCCCCATTAGCATCTTCTTCTACAAATTCTCTAAAATCCAAATGAGAATTTTATTTTAAAGAGAAGGCTGTGCTGAATCACCTTTTTTGTTGTTTGTTTGTTTGTTTTTTGGGGTTGACCTGCTCAGCAATGAGCATTGCCTGGAAATGAGCTGTCACAAAATGCTACATCCTTCCCAGTGGTGTGAAATTCATTATTCTGACGTTCTTGTTAGACAGACGTTAACAGCAAGCCAGTTTTTTTCTTCCTTTTTTATTGATAGAGGCTGAACTAGGAAATCTAATGGAGACAGGAAAAAAGAAAATGCAAGACCTTGTTACAATGTTAAATATGCAAACTTCAGGTTCTTACAGCACTGTGAACTCACCCATGCTGCAGACATACCATGTTGCAGTTAAGTAAATAATATCCTTTCACTGAAAACTGCCTGAATTCATAGTGAAATGCTTTTCATAACTTTTGTTCTTTACTCATGAGAAATTTCTTTAAAAACCTTAGTGGATTAAAAAAATAAACAAATACAAATCCCCAAGGGAACCTCTGCTACAAAATAACTGGATTCAAATGATGTTTGAGGTCTGACCTTAGACCCACACAAGCACAAAAATCTGAATTAACAAACCGAAAGGCTGTCCTTCACTCACCCCCGCCTGATATATTTAGCAACTTTTAAATCTTACGGACTGCATAGAATAGAGTTGCTGCTGCCCATCTTCTGGCATACCCAATAGCTGTGGCTCATGCATGTAAACTTAGAGGTATGGAAGGCAGTAGGTCAGAGATCTGCAGTGAGGAATGTAAAAGCATTCAAGAAATGTGGTTCGTTTTTTTGAACCTAAATAATGATTTCTTTAACCTCAGTGTTTCCTGCTTGATAAACAGCTCTCAATTTCAAGTAAGAAGTGGTATCTTTCCCATTTTCCTGTGGAAGCTGCTTTTAATTTTGAGACTATGGTTTGTAGTTGGTTTCAAAGAGTATGCCTTGTGTTACTTGGGCAGGAGTGGATGAAATAAGGGTGAAATATCATTCTTGCTTTTGATTTCCTTCTTGCGTTTAGTGTTTTTTGAAATTTGTAATGTGGATGCTGGTTGGGAGAAGGTTAGCAATAAATGTTCACCCATATAAAAAAAACATGGAATGAAATTAATTTATTTCCTAATTTTAAGCACTTAAGTTTATCAAGCAATAATAAGTGGAGATTAAAAGTGGCTTAGGTTTGTTGTGTATCAGCTGAAAAGCTTTTATTGAAAGTCTTGTTTCTGTATCAACTCACCTATCTGTACATGAGAGGAAAGGATATGATCAAGGCCCACAACTAGTATTCTTTGATGGTGACTGATACAAATACATACAACTAGAACAAGGAGAGATAGTCCACAATCAATAGTCAATTTTAGATACCTGTTTTCATGGATACCCTGCCTCTTGCCTACTTTTCTTGTTTCCTTTTGTTATTTCTTTAAGATATCCACAGAACATCTGTGGCACTGGGCGTGAATAATCACTGTCTGTGTCTGGTTTGGGAAACTCATTTCACCCCTTCCTAGTTTTAAGCATTTGACAAGAGAAAGCTAGTCTGAGAAAGCTCTTTAAGTGTCTCACTTAAGCATGACCCAGGTTATAACTTCTGTTTGTAGAACATCCAGGATGCACTGTTATAGTAAAGTGTTTTAATTCCTGCCAGAATTATTCCCAAAGCTTTCTCTGTAGGAGTGCTTGTGAGTGATAAAGCAGCAAGTCATCATGTGAAATTAAAAGAATAACCAAAACAAACAAAAGCCACGCCTATATGATTTCCTCCTGAGTGTGGGCAGATACTGAATGCTTTGTTGTGACTCAACTTGGTTACAGATGGGCTCTTACTTTGGCTCCTCCTTATGTGCAGTTGATCTGAATTCTGATGGGTTGTCAGACCTGCTGGTTGGAGCACCTATGTTTTCTGAGATCAGAGATGAGGGTCAAGTCACAGTCTATATCAACAGAGGAAACGTGAGTATGTACAGGAGATGACTCGGTAAGGGATGAGGGCATGGATCTCGGGCAAGGTAACGCTTGTATTGTTCCAGCACTGCACAGTGAAACTCGATGTCTCAAATAAATGGGGCTCTGAATGTCTCTGACAGAGCATGAAGTCACAGGAAGACTCATCTGGTATAGTTTCCCAGACACTGACCCACATTCATCACAGATCTGGGAATCTTTCGAGGAGGTCTGAGAAAGTGTCTGGTTTTATGTTGAAACTTGGTGACATTTGTGACTTTTTGTGAAATTGCTGCCCAAACCAATTCAGAGTCAGTAGCTTTGACTGAGTTTCCTTTGTGTTTTAGGTGGTCACTAAGACCTAGAACACAATTTAGAACACAAGTGTCTGGGGATTGAGGAAGAGAAACCGGAGATTGAATTCATTTTACTTGTGTATTATGGCCCATATTTAAACTTCAGGGGAAGTTCTTACCAGCTGGTACCAGTGGATTTCACCTGACCTATCAACAATCTTGGAAAAGTCTGAACTTTCTTGCATTGGCAAACCAAGACCATTGATAAGTTGTATGTAGAGGAAAACAATGGTTTTTAACATACTATTAAATACTTAATATTCGGGTCCCAAAGCTGCTGTCTCAAAGGAGAAGTTGTTATGGACTAAAATTAAATTGTTTGGCTTCATCAGCATTTTGTGAACTTTAAGTTTGTTTATGCTGGACTTAAAATTCACCAGAAGTCCAAGCGTTTAGGAGACTTTACAGATGCTTTTGGTGTAATTTTATTTTCTATTATCACTCCTTTAAACAAGCTTTACTTTTTCAGTTTTATCCATGGGAGGTTCCACCTTTTATGTTGCAGTGTTGCTGCTGGGTCCTCAGGATTGGGTCCAGAATGCCAAAAAGATAATAGCCAACATTTCCTGCTCACAGTGAGAGCATACACGAATTAATTTTTATCTTCTATAGAATAGTCAAGAAGCTAGTATGAGTTTCTTATACTCCTGCACCAAGAATTACTTGCACGAGCAATGGATTGCAGGATTGTGGATTTTATTTTGGGGTTTGGACATTTGAAACTTTTTTTCATTCTGCAATCACCATTACTTAACAGGTTGTTGCAGAGGATCAGAGAAAACTGCATTATAAAACAAGCATGCACAGTGATGTTACTTTTAAAATGTTTATGTTTTGCCCTTTCCTGTGAGGACTGCAAAGAATTTAGTCGCACATACAGGCCTGCCTGTCTCCTCTCTGTTGTGTTTTATTTTCATTATGTGGGATTTTCTTGAAGTCAGCAACTCCCCATAGCCAAGTAAAAGATTTTATTACATGTTCCAGAGGGTAGTTTATTCTTATTCACAAAGGAAACAAAACCAAAACAAAACAACCTTGAGGTGGGTACAGACTTGGATTATGTAACTAAATTTTGTTTTCTTGTGGAAATATTCCTTTCCCCTTGAGAGAAGACTCGAGAAGCTAAAGCTTATGTATCTGACCAGAAGGTGGGTGGGCAAGAAATACCAGAGCCATATAAGGCTTCTCACGGCATAGGAGTACAAAACTACTTAATTCTGAACTTTTCTCTGTCTCTTTATTTCATTAAATCTCTTTCCTTATTCTTAATTTCAGAAGGCCTTTTGAGGACTTTGCTTTAATCCTTTTGTCCTATACTCAAAATGTTTTCAAATTCAACTGTCAAATGTTCTTTGCTTAGGGGAAAATACTCCTTAACTCACTGAGTTTAGCTGAATAAGTCTGGACTGAGGATTTCACTCCTCAGATGTAATCTTCCAGTAGTAAGCTCTGGGCTGTTATGTTTTAGGCATCTGGAAACTTTCATGGGTTCACCAATCCCTGTGACTGCATTTAGTTACATCTCTGAGTTACTGTTTAGTTAATTTAGCATTTTAGTTATATCAGCCATGGACTCTTTCTGCCTTTCTCCCCTGTCCCCTTGAAAACTAAAACCCAGAAGGTTTAAAACCCAAATAAATTAGATATCTAGACCCCAGGTAACCTGAGTACAATGCAGGAGAGAGGCAGGCTGCAGCTCTGCCCCAGGTACTTCCCACAGCACAAGGGCATCTTGCATGGGGAAGGCTTACCTCGCTCGGGAATTGCACCATTTCCCTGACCCTGTTTTATTTCTTGCTTGCTAGGGAGTGCTGGAGGAGCAGCTCATCCTGGATGGTGACAGCGCTTATAATGCACACTTTGGGGAGACCATAGCCACCCTTGGTGACATTGATGACGATGGCTTCCCAGGTCAGTGTAATTTCCTTCATGGCCGTTTCTCTGTCAGTGCCAGCAAAGCTGTGCCGTGCAGCACCGTCAGTCTTGCATGGCTCGGTGCTGCGTGGCATCCATTGCTCCTCCAGATCTGACCAGCACCTGGGTTCAAACTAAGGATAAATGAATGTGCTTATGTAGGATTTGTGTGCTAAAGCCTTTTGTAGGTGACTGTTCTTGATGTCGGTTTAGTCCATGTCTATGCAGGTCACACCTCAATCTCATTAATTGCTTTGCTTTCCATGCTGTTGTATTTTCTTCTTTTCCTATGTGGTTTATAAAAAGCTTAAGGTACCCACAGCCCAGAGAAAACAGAAACCTGTCTGACTTCTTTTTTCTTTCCCATTTCCTTATGTTTTCAAGCCTTTCTGGTTTTGTTGACATAGTCTCATTTCTTATCATGTAGTGTAATTAAGAAGTAGCTTCTCGCTCCTGATAGAATGTACTCTATTAATTTCTCTCCTCTTCTTTGTTCTCCCTGTACTCCTTTCTCAGGCCTCTCAGCATGAGGCCCATGCTGTGATAGCAATAGGTGAGTGCAAAGTTTTGATGCTGGCACCTTTTCTGCCCTGGTTTCTGGCAGTGCAGATTAAGGACTTCTAAACAAAGGCCAGCTTAGTCAGTGTATACCTGGATTTATTTCTTTCAGGCCACTCAGGGCACAGTATCCCATTAAGCCTAACTCAGCCCTGTTGCAGGTTGCCCTCACCAATGGTGGACATGGTGTTCCTCTCTATTTGGACATGCGTTTGTGTGTTCTTGCTGCTGCTTGTAGGTCAGTTGTGATGGTGAGACTGCAGAAGGAGTTGAATCAGTTCATGGATATGAAGCAGTTGAGAAAAGCTTAATTTTAGTAGCCACATAGTCACTAGATCCAACTAGAAGTGAAGAACAGGAGGTGGGATCATGCTTTCTACAAGAGTTTGCAGTTAAATTGGATCAAATGTACTTTGAAAGTGGACCTTCAGCAGCCTTTTTCTCTTCTTGCCTATCCATTTAATATACCCAGCCTCTTTGTGAAGCCTTGGATTTTCAGCCAGCCTTAATGTAGTGCTGCAGTAAATATTTTGCCAGTCTTGTCCTAGTTCGCAAAGCTGATGTTCCCATGGGTTGGAGATTTTGTCATGAAACGTTTCTAAATTAACTTTTTGAGTATGGTTGCTGGTTAATAAACACACATTTTCATAACAGCACATATTTCTAATTAATCTGATTCTGTGAAACGTAGCCACATGCATGTACAAATTCATATACGTTTCTGTGGTTTTTAAGTTTATCTTAACATGAGCTCTTAAATAAATCAAACAAATTCCTTCTACGTAGGTTCGCATGAGCTGCTGATCATCTTTGTCATGGGGAACTGTTTTGCTATGGATAGCTGCATTCTAAAACTGGGAAAAAGTTGGATTAGTGGGATGGACTGTGAAATGTTTATAATCTGTACTGTTTTACAGATGTTGCCATTGGAGCACCTAAGGAGGATAACTACGTAGGAGCAGTGTACATTTACCATGGGGATTCCAATGGTATTATACCTCAATACTCTATGGTATGTGACACTGCCATTTATGATACCTTTCTGAAGTCACTTTCCCAAGGCCTGAAGAAATAAACCATACTTAGGAGTTCCTAAGTTCCTTGTCATCACTCAACATCCTTTTCTCAGTCTTGATTTGAAGGTGGCTTCTCCCAGAGTTTGTCTATATCTATGCTGAAGGGTAAAATTATGTCAGTCAGGAGGTATTTTTCACTCTCTTTTGTTATAGCTGTCAGCTATATCTTCTTGAAGCAAAGTCTTAGGGACTGAGTGTCAGTTTTTAGAGATAGTACTGATGCAGAGGAGAAATGGAAACCCTGGAGAGGTTAAGCATAGAAATTATGGAGAGGCCCGTGGGGAGTTGTGGGGTTGCACTTTCTTCCTGTAGAAGCAGACTTTGCGAGAAGGAAGAGATACTAAGTGTTCTTTTGTGCCTTACAGAAGCCTCTTTACCCACCTTGTTGACCTTCTTGCATTCTGACAGTATATCACAAGGCCTTTCTTGGGAGCCGTTCCCCTGACTCCCTTATTATGAAGTCAAACCTTGTCTGGGATATGCTATACCATCTTGTGCAGGGATGACATAGTACAATTTAGCTGCTGTAGCCAGGCAGTAGAGATGATAAATTTATGCTCGTGCTGCCCAACATGTGTCCGCTAGTCTCTCTCTAGCACATTTCTTTGTTCAGAGAGCCTGAATCTTCCCTCCCTCTGTGTGTTTGAAGTTCTAGTTGTTTTGTTTTGTTGCTGGGTGGGATCCTTCACAGTAAATAAATTTAAGCAGAATTAAAGAGTTTAGTGGTTGTATTGGAGGTTCTTTTAACAGACCATAAAAGTTTAGTCCTTCTTCCTTTTACCATGTATGTGGCATGCACTGCTTTTAAGAAAAAAAGGAAGTAAAGTGACTCTTTAGTACATTTTAGAAGTATTCTTAATGTGTGGCATGTGGTGGATTCTGCCCATTTTTTGTCAAGAGTCACTGTTTGGGAGTCACTTCTCTGGCTGTTGAAAATCTTAGAGCTTTCAAGTTCTTGCTGAAAAGGATGGGGGTTTTTTGGGGTTTTTTTTTGGTCATTCATGGGAAAATGTTACATTTTTCAAGGAGGACAGATCATCAGGGTGGGAAGCAAAACATCCTGTTTGTGATCTCTCCCTCCCCACTGGAACAAGGCCAGCAGACAGCACATGCGTCTCCATTTGGTCAGTGGGAAAACACCCAGCTTGAGAGGGTGGCAGGGTACAGTTGTTGACCCTTGATACCATTCCTATGGTTGTTCCATGTCCTGAGGCAAACAAGAGGGCACCACTTACAGGGAGTATCTCTGTGCAAGTGATTTCCCAGTGTCTGCTGCAGGGCACTGGGTAGACCACCAGTTCACGTCCTGCATGCAACCAAAACTGTGTAACAGCTTCAGCTCTCTGCCTACCTGTCCTGAATTTGAACCCAGAGGTGAAAGACTTTTTGTATCTTATTACTGTATTGCTGATCCATCTCAATGCTGTGGATTTCCTTTTTTAAATAAGCTGTGAGAGGTGGAGGGAAGGGACCCTGCAGGGTGTATATCTTCACCCTTTTCATTTTGTTAGCTCTTCCCTCCCAGTCCTGCCTTTCGCTTTCCCAGTTGTCTTCATTTAAATTGCTGATCCGTGTAGTTCTTTGTACCTTCAGCAGCTTCAGTGGCTGCTATTAGCAGAAGCAGCTTAATTGGCTTTGTGCCCTGCTGTTTTCATTCATGGTCGTTAAAAGCATTATACCTTTGCCTTCTAGGCTGTAAGAGCCACAGATGTCTTCTGAAGTGTTTGCAGGTGGGATTTACCACCCTAACTGGGACCCCTAAAAATGCGAAGCAAGTGTAATGTAGGTATTCCAGTTGTCAGTGTTATCTACCCACGAGTAGGATCACTGGTTTCCCATTGTACTAACTGTCAGGATATCTTTCTTCCCTTCAACTTATATTTTTTCCATAAATTTCCTACCTGACTTCTTGTCCAATATTACATTCTTTTATGGGAGGGCCGGGAAAAGTTGGTTGCATGTCACAAGTTGTGAAGCACCACCAACAGCTTCGAAATTACTTCATGGGACAGGTTTCCTCTGTCTGTAACTTCTGCAATCAGAAGTTGATTTGAGGTCAGGTCTTGCATTGGTGGCCCAGCATAATGAATGAAAGCTGAGAGAGTTCTGATTGCATTCTTAGAAAAGGAAATTTTGATATATTAATTTGCTTCAGACAAAGGCATTTACAGTGCAAAGAATTTAGAGAAAGTTTTTGTGTTAGTAATTAGAAAACAAAACTATGTTAGAAGTTGGGGAGGCAGAAATGAGATACAACTTCCAAACTGACAGAAAATACTCCATAATATCTGATGGAAACTGGAATTTCCAAGTGGGATGAAAATTAATCATTTTGACTTTGAGTGTGCTGGCAACCTTCGTGAAAAGAAATGGTTGTGTGGAATTTTCTGTTTCAATTAATCATTAATTTTGTTAAGATGCTTCTTGAAACTTCTATTCAGAGAAACTAAGGTAATGCAAAAAAAAACCCACAAAAAATTAATCTCTTGAGTGCAGTTAAATTTTCTCCCTCTGCAGAAATCTGTTTGATGTGTTCTTTATTTTGCTTGGGTCTGCATGAGGATTGTTATGCAGGTGTGTTTTTTAATCCAAGTCAATGCTGGCCTCCTGCTAGCCCAGAGCAGAAGGACTTCCTGCAGTTGACAGCCTTCCTGTTCAGGGCTGCATCAGTGAAGTGTGAGACTGCAGGTGTGCGGCACTTCCAGCCCAGGGAGAAGAGACCCAATGACCATGAAAATCATGCTTGAAGATTTTCTTTTGTTTGGCGGGGTTTTTTAGAGGATTCTGTGTGTTACTGACTGATTTCACTCGTGTTATTTCTGCTACAGAAGCTGTCTGGGCAAACAATAAACCCAAAGCTGCGTATGTTTGGCCAGTCCATATCAGGGGGAGTTGATATGGATAGCAATGGTTATCCAGGTATGTATGCTACTCTGGCAGCAGGAGCATGGGGAAAATACAGAAGTAGGCCTAGAAAATAGCAGAGCTAGGTTGTTTCCAGGTTGCTGGTCCCTGCCATTGCAGATGGTCAATGAAGCTGAGCTGCTTTTTCCCTTTCTCTTCTGCTACTACAAGCTCCTGATAAAAATTCTAGGCAATTACTTAATTCAGGTATTTTGGCAGTTACAGCAATTGAAGATTCAGTATCTAACCAAGGTTGTAAGTTTCTTGAAACTGCTCAGTCAGGATGGCAGTCTTAAAATAACCCAAAAAGTAGACAATAATATAGTAATGTTAAAAAAAATCAACGAAGCAGAGGTGAAGTAACATCACAGACCTAATCCTCCAGTTATAATACATATGACATAATGGTATTTGAAGGGGCAAACTGGCTAAGTCAGAAAAACATGCTCTGTAGTCTGGCAACTGATTTGAAAGAACTGAATTCTATGCCTCCTTTATAACTGTCTCAATGTTACAAAAATTTCAGATATGACTGTTGGAGCCTTCTTGTCAGACAGTGTGGTACTTCTGAGGTGAGATGACTGTATTTTTCACTCATTGTTGTCTTCTTTTTCTTTGCTTTCTGTTTATGTCTTATGTGGTCTTAAGCCCAACCGATTAACCACTCGAGTTTCCTCCCTAGTTTGTTGTGGCCAGAAGAAAACTAGGTTACTGTTTAAGCAAAACCTTAGACATGAGTGATGTCAAAGAATGCACAGTCTAATTTAAACAGCAGAGTGAGGGGTGACAATACATAGGACACCCGGGGCTATGAAGAAAAAGGGTTGGAGCCAGAAGGAGATATGTTGCATCTCAGTGCCTCTTTAGAAAGGTTACTCCCAACTTGTGAGGAGGCTTCTTCATTATTCTTATGTTTATATGAAGTAGATAAATTGTGATTTAAGGGAATGCAGTTAAGCAAAAAATGAGCTGTGTATGATGCCAGGATGTAATTTTGCAAGTTATAATGGGATGCAGAATGAAATAAGAGTCTTCAGGGAAATGAAATACAGATACATTTTCAATGCACACAGGAGTTGGACTGCTGTTTCAAGTTTATGAGTTAAGTGCAATTGCTTGTTCCATCTGATAGAAAGAGGTGGGACAGCTTGGTTCACCAAATTATGCAGGTTTTTTTGCCGGTAGGTCTGTTGTTACACTTGTTAATATTTAATAAAAAAAATCCTTTCAATACTTAGATCTCATTAGGAATAGAAATCACTACTAGGAACTCTGGCATCTTAATGGAAGATACAGGGATGTGGTGACACTGGTAAGACAAATGCTGGAACTGTAGAACAGATGTGCCAGCTTCCTTCCTGTTCAAGGCAGGAAAAACTTGGCTCTGTTTCCCTTGGAATCAGTTACACAAAAGAAAAAGAAAAAAAGGAAAGGAAGGGGAAGAAATACCCTTGATGATCAGCATGGCAGGTGGGCAAGTCTTCTGAAGAGTGTTCTGTTCCTTCATCATGCACATATAGGAAGCTAATTACTGCTTCTGTGAAAAAGTGTGCCATGCCTCAGGTGGGAATTTGCAGCCCCATATCTCTGAAGGTGCTGAAAAGAAAACTGCATTTTTCTCCTGCATTGATGTTAATTGCAGAGGGGGGAAGACAAACTGAAAGGCATATTGTGATGTTTAAAACCACATGCATCACAACAGCATGATGACATCTGTCCATGTTTTCAGTCATACTTGTGCATTTCCGAGGAAATTAGTGTATTGCTGACTGACTTTGTGGGCAGCCTGATTAAGTGTTGCTACTGCCAGTTTCAGGTGTGTCCCTCTTGCTGTTAAGATTCAGATTAGGATAAAGAAATCAGCTTTTTCTTCTCCTTCTCCTCTTACCCCTCTCACTTTTGCGAAGTCCCTTAGCCAAGTGATATTTAAAGGCTTTGGTGGAAGCCTTTGGTTACTTGAGGCAGATCGTCAGCATTGTATTGTATTGGTCCTTTGACAGATGCACTGGGTTTTTTTCCCCAGTGAATAACCAAGTGAGATGACACTAAGGAAAAATCACACAGTGTATCATAGCTGGAGAAATATTTTTCTAGATCAACTATAGCACTTACTCTTTTATGTCTCCCTAAGCATTCAGAAAGAGTGTTTCTTCGAAGGTGTGAAATGATTGCTCACTCTTTTTCCTCCTTCCCCCCCACCGCATATATTTCTAGGGGTAGCATTTATCTTCATCCTCCGTCTCAAAATGTGAACTTGCACTGTTGTTTCAGGCTGTGGTAAAAGAGTCTGAGCAGCTGTCTTAGAGATTATGTGAATCTTGTTCCAGGTGGTATAAATTAGATGTAACCACAGTCCCTGCTTTCTTCTCCTTCTTCTGCCCTACTTCTCAATTAAGTGGCTTGTGGAGTGATCATCCTGAAGTAGTTTACAAGCTCTGGCCTTGCATGGCTGTTGAGACTACTCTGGAACTGAATCTGCTGGTTGCTGCACATTTTTTTCACTATTGTAGTTGGTTTTGGAAGAACGTGTTCATGTTGATCATGTACAGAATTGAAACCAAGAAGAATAACACTGAATTTTTGGGCTGAAGTCCTGGGCTGGAGATGACTCAGAAGAGTCTGGTTTTCTGGGCTGCTGGATCTTCTGTGTTGTGTGAAAGAGGAAACTGTTGAGGAATACATTCAGTATAGGTATCTCAGGTGCAGCTGCAGTGTGAGCTGCAAATTGAGCTTTGGATGGTGGGAGCCTGAAGCAGGAGGCTGTGAACCGTTGACTTTTTGCATAAGAAAAGCCATGGGGACCTGTGGCACAGCCAGGTGACCAGACACTGGGAGACACAGCAGGAGCCAAGGACTCAGGAGGAAGAGCAAGGAAGAGTGAAGACTTGCTTGGAGTGTGAGGGTAAAAAAGCCCAGGGGGTCCTTTGTTCTGGATCCCTCCTCAGAGGCACCCCCTTGAGCTGTTTCTGTGTTACTTTGCTGTGAATAAATGGCTTTATGGAACTATGGGAAACCTGGTCTGACTATGTGAGAGTGGTGTGTGTAGGGAATCAAGTGGGGCACCTGTCAGCTCTCTGGAGCCACTGCAAAAGGGCTTTGGTCCCACCAGTTAAAGTCTCTGGTGGTGTGAATGTGACTATGTGAGTGCCTCCTGAATGGTCAGACAGGGAAGTTTCCTTAACAAGACACACCTGGGCCTTAAGGGACTCAGCTTGCTCTGTGATTCTGGCTGTGTTGTCCCTCAGCCAGGAGTAGTGGTAGCAATAACCTGATGCTGGAGTTGCAAGGGTAGAAAGCTTTTGTTCACAGTGCACTGGGTAACTCCTGAAACACAGTTCAGCAGCGTGAAGAGTATTCAATCCTTGCCAGGAGGGAATTAGCCAAATGTCTCTCCTCCAGAAAACACGAACGTAGTGTTTGTTGTCCCTCTTATACTGTCAGAAAAATTATATATGAATCTGTCTCCTACCCCTGTGCTCCCTCTTTGACTTTGAGGTCATAAATTTGACTGTAGACCATTCTGTGGAAACCTATGGTCTCTTCCTACCTGTCCCTGACCATCCAAGATGGTTAGCAACCAGTCTCATTTGCATGAACTTGTTGTTCTTGTTTGCTGTTCTACTAATTTTATTATCCTCCAGCAACTTTTGCTGGAGATGATGATGATGATTATTATTACACATTACTGGTTTCCCTAGCTGCCTGCCTGCAGTCTGTATCCGAGCACTGAACTTCAAGCGGATATTACTGTTTTAATTTAAATGCTAGTAGTCCTTGCCAGCTAGGTCATGTGCTAGTTTATTTTACAGCTCAAAGGTACTCTCTTATTTTTCCTGTCTGCTTGAAATTGTGTAGTTTACCAAATTTACTTTCTTTTCCTTTGGCTTAGAACTTCCGTCTGCTCACTCAATTCTACTTCTCTGTTGATCTCCAGATCCAGGCCTGTCATTACCGTGGACATCTCCATTTTCCTGCCCGTATCTATCAATATCACAGCTCCTCAGTGCCATGATGGCTTGCAGCCAGTGAACTGCCTCAATGTCACAGCATGCTTTCGCTTCAGCGGCAAGCATGTTCCTGGAGAAATAGGTAAGGTACCTGTGCCAGCCCTGGGCAGTAACAGGTTGACCTGGAGTAAAGGGCTCTCTTTGTAGTCAGTAACAGACCTTTTATGGGAAATAAGTAGTTTCAATGTGAATGTGGAGTATACAATTCCAGAAAGTTGGAGGCTCGAGAACTTCATTGGGCATGTTTTTACCTTCTGATGAGGCTGATGTAATACCGAGGCAGTTTCTTCCTCAGTGAAAGGAGGGAAGTGTGTCCTTAGGCTTGCTACAAGGATAGAGAACACAGCCTTCAAAGTTTGTGTTCCCTGTTTACTTCTTGATAGATAATACATTTCTGAATCCATATCCTCCATCAGCGTTATCAGAAAGCATATGAAAGGTGATTTGCTCTAGATTAATAGTTTTTGAAAGTCTACAAGGAGCTCTTGAAACAGATATGAGAAAATCCTTTTCTGTGCATCAGTTTACTTGTCTGTAAAGTGACTGTAAATAGCCCAGTCTTAGTTAATCTCTGTTAAACACGTGGAGTTTCTGAGGTGAATGGAATTGTGTAACGTGTAATTGTGCAAACCTTTATGTCTTTGCTCTATTAAAATACTACTTATGATTTTTACATCCCAGTGTTTACAAGTCTTAGATATTGTGTGAAGTCGTATGGGACAGATACAGCATTTCTAAATATTTTAAGGCCTGAGTTAATTTAGTTCATGATGTTTTACCTTTGTCATGCTTTAGGAATGGCAGAGGACTTGCACTGTGCTGTTCAGGGAAGATGTCTCAGCCTCACGGCATGCTCTGTCTTGATAGTGAGCTGGGGGAATCAGTGTCTCCTCCTGCTCTATGCCCTGCCTTTTTGAGCAGGTAGTCGAGAAGGGTAAGTTGCATCTGTGCAACCCAGTATGCAGAGCTTGCTGCAGTATTTTGGTTTTAAGTAAGTCAGAGAAATAAAAGGCTTCTTGCTGCTTCTTCTGCCATTTACATGGGGTGAGAACTACAAGCAGCTTGTGACTCTCACCTGAACAGCTCAAAACAGTGGAATTACCAAATTTAGGGTTCCTGTGTATTCTAATATACTGATGCAACTGAGACTTGAATTTCTATTTTTGCACTTTTTCCTTCTCTTAGATGACACTAAGCAGATAAATACATGCTTTGGTGAAGTATTTTTTGTACTGCCTGATACTCTGTCAATTAAGAAAACACATTTCTGAGGGATTGTTAATTCCTCTCTGAAAATCACCATATAGATTTTCTGAATATCTAGCTGTTCTTGAAGTACTGTTTCAAATGTTTCCTTTGCTTTAATTTCGTATCTCTGGACCTGTGGCTAAGAAGTGAACTTCCTTTTTTTCCAATCTAAGTATCTGTTTCCCTCATTTACAAAAGATCTGTCTTCCTGTTCATCATGTCTTGTAAGAGTTGGTTAAATTTCTCTGTGTTGTCTTACTAACTGTACTTCTGATGATTTATTGTGGTGAAAGCACATAAGCATCCTCTTTGTTGAGTAACATCCATCTCATTACAAGAAATTTTTTACTATTAAGTAGATTATTATAAAACTTCCAACCATTGTCCTTTCATACAGTGCTTGTAACAAAGTGATTTGTCTTGAAAACATTGCAGCCAGAACTATCTGACTGTATAAAATCTCTTCAGGGTATGATTTGGATAAAATATCTCAAATGAGCTTTCAGTTAGTAATCTAACAGTCAGGCCATTTTGATTATGTTGCAGTTGAAGAATATCAATTAACAAAGGGTGGAACAAATAATGGAAATATTGTAATGGTTCCTCTCCTGTGTGGTTAAATGTGGGGGAAAAAAACCCCTAGAATATCCCTGTTAATACATCGTTGTCCAGTTCAGACTCTGAAAGGCACATGGAAGTGTTAAAATGCTATGCCAGAATTTTGGGGCTAAAAGTGTTGGGATTGGGATTATTTCATCTTTGGGTGTCTGGGGGCAGTCTGTAAAGTTAGATGGTGAGAATGCAGTGCTTGTCTGGAAAGTCACTCCCCTAGGGCTTGTCAATGTGGATACTCGAGATTGCTGCTTACTGGTGAAAAGCTCAGAATTTGTCTTGCTTTTGGGCAGCTGAAGTTGGTCATCTATTGCATAATGTTTAGAAAGTCAAGCTGAACAGGCAGGCAGCATTCTTCTGTGGCAAATGTGTGCCTTCAATGCTGATTTGAATGTGTGGCTATCTTGTTAACTGTCATGTGAAGGAAAGTCATCTTCATCTAGCACTACCTCACGCTTGCATATAAACATTCCCCATCTTTCTTTTGCTTCTTCTTTTTCTAGTGGGAGTTGCAATACTACTGGTCATGAAACAGCTGTCTGGGGTTCTGTGTTTATGGACACTGCTTGATACTGCCACTGACAGTACAATTTCCATGAAGTTGTTTCTTTCAGACTATGGTCTTCAGAAGTATGAATTTATCGCTGAAATGTTTTTATCTGAACAAAGAGCCATGGCCAAGGGAAATGTGCTCTGCACTGTGTGCCACACATTGCCTCAGTGCTTGCTGGAGAGCTGAGCATCTAGTTGTATGTCTACTGACAGAGACCACCTCCAGTATGTCTTGGAGGTATGAGAAATACAGTATTTTACGTTGTCACTCTGTCACCTCAGAATCTCACTCAGGCTGTTCCTCTTTCACTTAAAGGGCCATTGCTTTGTCTCCTGTGAGGTCTCTGTATTGCCAGGAAAGGCTGGGACTAGAGACAGGCCTTTCCTAGCTTGAATGAGAAGCTTTCAGCCTCTTCAAACCATGCACTTCTGGGTGACCAGGACAAGAAAAGAGACTGCTTCATCTCTGGGCATCAAGGGTTGCTTCTGCATTCGTCCCTGAAGGAAAATGGAAGTAAACTTGGCCCACAGTCTGGATAATTTCCTCTACAATAATAACAACAATAGTAATACTGCCATTATGAGAAACAGGTGAATTTTAATGGCTATGAAAATGAAGGGTTTTGGTCATTTGACTAGAGTTAGGCAGATACGTTAGAAATTGCTTCAAACTTTCTCCTATACTTTTCATTTCAGATGTGCATCGCTTGTGTGTTGATCCGTTGCTAGGGTAGTCCTCACGTCCCTAATACTGTTGCCTGAAAGACTGGTGCAAAATTTAGTGTAGGATTGTTTGACAGTTTCGCTCTATTTGAACATGTTTCTAGGACTGAAGTAACATGCCTAATCTGAAACTTTTCGGAAGTGGACTCTCCTCTTCTTACCTGTGTGCAGCTGTAGTTTGGTGCAGGAGTTTTATTCTGTCTGCCTCTTATTTTTCCAGTCTATTCAGATACAGGCAAGTCAGTGTTACCTTCAGAGTGCCTCAGAAACAGGCATGCTGCAGGAATGTGTTCAGTGTATGGAGCAGCGAGGATGGCTCCCAACTTGGAGCCAGGGACAACACTATGAGAGAGGATTTGAAACAAGGTTTGAAGTAATGGGAAAAAAAAATCGTTTTGGAAGAGGATGGAGGGAATATCCTATATATATTCTCATTTTCTAGGGTATTTTTTTTAATACTGAAGAATTTTCTTTGCAAGCTAAGTTCATGAATTATTTTCTCCTTGAAATTACTGGCAGAGGCACCAAAGAAACACATTCCTCTTCTGATGGCTTTTTGTTATTATTTAGTCGTTTCTTCATTTTTTTCGCATGCTGCCCTTCCCCTTGCCCCCCACAAATTGGTACTATAGCTAGTAGTTTAACAAGCACTTACAGATGTGCTTGTTCCTGCTGAGCATTTTGCCTCCTGCTGTTTGTGTGGTGTGTCATTATCTGAGTGGGTGAGGATGGGATGTGCTGAGTGGCTTAGAGTGTGTAACCCCTCCATTAGTGCAGTCAGCTGTGATTTCTGTTTTAGCTTGGGGGATACCATGGCCTGATCTTAATCTCTTCTAACTCCTTACTGCTTCAGGGCTGCCATCAACCATCAAGGACGACTCTTGCGTCGTGAGTACATATATGCCATTTAGGATGAAAATCCACTGTAAAATGCCTGCTGCCATTTACTTGGTACATCTCATACTGGCTGGAGTAATTCACCTGGTCTACTGGGTGGGGGTACTCTTGCAGGTATGACCAAAAATTTCTCAGAGGGAGCTGTTATTGAAGCTTTTAGCCGTTTAATTTTAGTTATGGAAAAGGAATAGTCATTAGAAGAATTGAGCCCTTCTGAGGTCATCAAACCCATGCCAGAGTTTTATTTCGATTGTATGAAGTTGGGTGGGTAGATCCCCAGAAAAAAAGTGAGAAAACTTGCTTAAAGCTGCTCAACAAATGTTTGAAGGCAGTACCTGGAAGAGTTAATTTGCTGCAAAAAACTTGCCTCCTGTTCTTCTACTGGAGTGAGCAGGAGGAACTTAAACCACCAGCAGTGATAAGTTTGGCCAGTTATCTCCTCACTTGGGTTTGCTTTTAGGAAGCAACAAAGCTGGGGAGGGCGAAAAAAAGTATTCATGATATTTCAGTTTTTCCACTGATATGACTTCATTGAATATAACATAGAAACAAGTTGTGATAATAAAGGGGAGGTAGGGAACCGTACTGATTGGACAGTGCCTGGGATCTTTAATCAGAGGCCTGGTGCAGGCCTCACATTGGGATCCCTTTCCATGCCTGCAGTGAGGAATTGTTCAATGTCGCTAATACGTCACACTATCACTGGAGACTTTACAAGCCTCCCTAGGCACCCCTGCAAGCTCTGCAGTCCTTTCTTCCTTTGGCCCTCCTCCTTTGAAGACGGCTGCATGTGTCCAGAGGGCTTTTTGCCTCTGTGTAGCAAAGCCTGGGTTTGCTAACATGTTTTCTTGTCTTTAATTTTGTGATATTGCTGCAGATCTTGGCATTGCTTGCATGTAGATGCATATGAGATCTTGAAATAAAAAGGGAGACAGTTGGGGATGGGTGTGGGACACCTTAAGAAAAGAAAAAAAGTTTAGGATTTTAAGCAAGCTAAACCCTGTCTTTCTGATAAGGTGATGCTTTTTAGTAGGACTGAGTAAACACCACTTTAGTGAGAGTTTTTGGTCATGAGCTTGTGAGTTCGAAATATTTTCAAGACATTATCTTTCTAAGCAAGTTATTCTACCAAAAGCAAACAAAAAAATGTTCAGGTGAAGCCCTGTGATGGTAGTTAGGCTGATTCCCCAGTTATGGCTTTTCATACCACTTAAGGTTTGTCTGGTTGCTATGCCCTAAGCTTTTAGTCAGAATGCAACACACTGCAAATGAAGTGAAGCTAATTTGAATTGTGTGAGTTTATAAGTTGTCATGGTTTGAGATAGCCCCAACATCCAATTCCCTAGCTCCATTCCCCCTCCCACATCTCAACCTAATGTGAGATGGGTTTTTCCAGACAAAACACACACCAGACTCAAAGTGGGGAAAGGGAATATATTACAATGACTGTACAAATAAATACCATATCACATTATACACATGATCACAAACTATCTCTACCATGACATATAGTATTTACAATGGATCAGATCTCTTCTCCCCTCCAAATAAAAGTCCAGGAGGGAAAGAAGGACAGATCCCTTCCAGTCTCTGAACAGCAGCATCTTCTGAGGCGGCAGGTTTCTTCTTCTCATGCATGCAGCAGCTGATAGCTGGATTTCTGCCAGCATCCACAAGGGAGGTATCCAAGCCTCTCTCTTGGCCCCATCGCCTCACAACCGAGGGGTCTTCCGTGGTCTTCGTAACCCCAGACAAGGTCGTTTCACCACGTCATATCACGAAGACACAGGGGGGTCTTCGTGACGGTCTGGTATCTCTTGCAGGGCCTCTGTGCCCTGTCTCTCAGGTTGCCACCGTGGCAGCAGTGTGAGGGGGGAGAAGCCAAGGTCAACTCCCCCTGCATTCCTCTCGGAGCTCTCTAGCTCCTTTCTACAGTGCATGTCGCACTTCAAGGCTCTTTCAAGTAAGAGGCCATCATCTTCCTCCTTCCAGGAGGTCTCAAAGGAGTTTTGGGGATCTGGTATCAGTCTTACCCCCAAGAACTCTGTAGCTCTCAGCTGCTGGCTCTCCTTTCCTCGACTCTCCTTCCAGGAGTCTCCTCTGCAGTGCTGCATGTTGCTTCTGCTGCTTCTTCAGGTTCTTATCTCTGGCTCTCTGCCACTGTTTCTCTGGTCAGCGTCGGCTGCTGCTCTGTGCCCATGGAGAAAAACATCTCCCGGCATACTACAGGCACCTAGCCCAGCTTTATGCTGTTCCAGGTCCCTGCAGCCCCCAGCCAGGGGCTGGGAGGGGGCCAGAGGGCCCAAGGGGCTCAGAGCCCCTACCTCGTGGCTCTACAACATGGCCACCTCTCCTACAACAACCAAACTACAACTCTTCTTTTCCGGTCTGGTTGTGGTATGTTTACATTTCTGCAGGAGCGTCCATTGGGCAGAATTTCAAAACTTCCAGGGGTTTCCACCCCTTGGGGTCTACCACTTCTCTTAGCCTCTGGGGAGAACAAGGTTCAAACCACTACATAAGTGTTCACAGAGACTTTTGTGCCAAGAAGGCTAAAAGTGAGAAAGTTCGTGGGTTGAGATGAAGACAAGGTAATCATCTACAACAGTCTTTAACAGTCTACAACTTCCTCATGAGGGGAGGAAGAGGAACAGGCTCTGATCTCTTCTCAGTGGTGACCAGTGACAGGACCCGAGAGACTGGCATGCAGTTGTGTCAGGAGAGGTTTAGGTTGGATATTAGGAAAAGGTTCTTCACCCAGAGGGTGATTGGGCACTGGAACAGGCTACTCAGGGAAATGGTCACAGCACCAAGCCTGACAGAGTTCAAGAAGCATTTAGACAATGCTCTCAGGCACATGGTGTGACTCTTGGGGGTGGTCCTGTGCAAGGCTAAGAGCTGGATCCTTGTGGTTCCCTTCCAGCTCAGCATAGTCTGTGATTCTGCAATAGGTAGAGCAAAAGCCAGTGCACACAAACAAAGAAAAAAAGGGAATTCATTGACCACTTCCCATGAGCAGTCAGGGGTACAGCAATCTCCAGGAAAGCATAATGGTTACTTAGGAAGACAAACATGGTCACTCCAAACGTCCTCACCTTTGTCCTTCTTTCCCCTACTCTATATATTGAACATGATGTCATATGGTATGGAATATCCCTTTGGTATGTCCCAGCTGTGTCCCCTCCCAACTTCTTGTGATCTCCTAAACCTACTCACTGGTGAAGCAGTGTAAGAAGCAGAAAAGGCCTTGACACTGTGCAAAGCACTGTTCAGCAGTAACTAAAACATCCGTGTGTTATCAACGCTGTTTTCGGCACAGATCTAAAGCATAGCCCCTTACTAGCTATGGTGAAGAAAATTAACTCTATCTCAGCCAAAATCAGCACAGTACTTCAAGTAGCAAATAAGTTTTCTTCTGGACACATATACATCCAGTGACATAGCAACTGATTGTGTTGGAAACAAGATTTACAAAGAGACAGCTCGTAAGTCTTGGGATATGTCTTCTATAAACTGCCAGAGATGTGTAACATCTAAGAGGGCACTGCTGAGTGCAAGGCATCGACCTCTAGTTAAGGTATAAATGCTGTGACTGCAAATCAAAGAAAACAATTGTCAGGAAATGCCACATCATAGTTTACATTTGCATAGTTTGTGTTGTTTTAGAAGAAAAACAAACTTGAAGCTGCTGCTGTTGTTTGTGTGGTTTTGCTTTTTCTGTTAGCAACATAGTTTAAGCATCTTCTGGGGTTTTTTTGTGGTTTTTTTGGTTTGGGTGTTTTGGGTTTTCTTTTTTTGTGTTAAATGTGCGTATCTAGATGGATTCTTACCATTTCCTGCAGGAAGGATGGGCTGGGAATAATAGCAACACAAAATGTGGGAGTACATTAGTAATTGGATTTGGTTTTATGTAGCCACGGGAAACTTAGTGATTGATTGAGGGCTTGCAGGGGTTGACCTTTCTTCAAGCACACTAGGAGGCAACAGGGTCTATTGATAGGTGGCTAGAAAATAACTATTGTTCACTGACATCCTTTGTTTTCTTCTTCCTTTTTAAAACAGGTTTGAATTATAACTTGACTGCTGATGTGGCAAAGAAGGAAAAGAGCCATCAACCCAGAGTTTACTTTGTGACTTCTGGAGAAACAGCAGGGCAGATCACAGAGAAGTTACAACTGTCATATATGCAGGAAAAGTGCGAGCATTACCTAGCATATGTCAAGGTCAGTTCATTCCTGTCCTTGTGTTGACCTTACTACAAGTGGTGCTGCTTGGCCTCAGATGTTTCGTTTCCTGACAGGTGGATGAAACCTTTTGGGTGGAAGCTCAGAACTTCTTGCTTGGCATCATTTGTCAGTCTGAGTAGTATCAGGCCTTCAAGACCTCGTACCAGGAAAATGTATTTTATTTATGTTTGATCAGGCAGAGGGGGTTTCTTTCTTCTTTTGCCTTGCTTTGTTGTTACATATGTCATACCCAAGGAGGTAATGTCTTGTTTTGGTAGGAGCAGCAGGTTTAGTGTTTAGTTTTGTGTAAGGTCTGACTGCACAAGAGGTTGCTGACACACTGTGCATAGGAACGGCAGAATAACATGGGGTGTGCAATGAAGTAATTGGGCTCTTGGATTTGTAGAGACCTGTGAATTTCATCTGGGCTTGAAAGCAGCAGTGGGATAACTTAATTTCTCCTGTGTCATGGTCCTAGGGATACAGAAGGTGCTTTCTAGACCTGCTGAGACAAAGAAAGGTTCTGTTTTTCCTGTGACAAACTCTTCATCTAGGGCTTGCTAGGACTGTAGTTATCTTCACTGGGCAGCTGTTGTTAAAGAAATGTCACCCAGCTGCCATTTTGTTTTCAAAGTAAGCACAACAGTTTTCTTCCACACTAAAAATCTATAGAATGGACTTTAAAATTATGTAGGAAGGACATTTATCTTTTAAACGACGTATGTCTTACAAATACTAATCTGTATCACCATTGATTACATACCCTCCTTACCGAAGGGCTTATACCCGTAGATGAGTGTGACTTAAATCAGATGGATATCACTTGACACTGTCTTGTTTTGAGAATACAGCATGCCCAGATTTCCTAAATGCATAAAGTTTTCCAGGAAGCCTCTTTGTACCTAAAAACTGTGAGAACGAGAGATAAAATTAATCCTTCGACTTTATCAACATTTTGTGCATGGCTGTTGAGAGAAAATAAAATAAATAAAGGGACCAAGGAGGAAATGCTGTCCTGTTGTGTGGATCTCAGGGAAGAGATTAGGTGTCTTCCATGGCTTTTTGTTTCTGAACAGCCTTTGCTTTCTGCTGTGGAAAAGCTTGTTGAAGAAAATGTAGACCTAAGAGATGACCATTACTTAGAAAGTATGTCTCTGAGTTTACTGATTCTGGTCTTTCTCCAATGAGCACATCTGGTTAGACTTCAGTGTATTGAGTTTGTATGAAAAGGAGTCATATGCCTTCCTGTTTTAATCCTATAACCCAATAATGACTTCTTTCACGCTAGCTCTTCTTGTAGTTTTTGGATACTACGCAGAATTCATTAGAAAGCTACATACGCCCAAGAAACTCTTTAAATAATTATGGGAATAATAATCTTTAAATGATTATGGGAATGCAAAGGTAAAAACTATTTTTCTGGAAAATTCCTGGAAAATTGGATTTTTATAGGAAAGAGAAACATTTAAACGTGTTTAAAAATACCAACAACTTAAAGCAAAACAGCTGTTTAACAAACAAGGCTACTGGCTTTCCATGTGATACAAGCAACTATTTTTCACTGTTGGAAGAATAGCAGGAAATGTTTGTTCTTGTGAGAGAGAATGCAAAGTAATGAAGAAAGATAATCCCTGTACTTTCATTGGAAAGGTGATATGATCCACAAGACTACATGACATCAGAAGCATCAAAGAAAGCCCTACACACTCTGCAGGAGTGGAAATGGTGTCATGATCTTTCACTTCTATCCTTAAGTAGCAGCTAGTAAAACAAAACCCCTGAAAAACAAAATAAAAAAAACCCCTTCACAAACTCCAGCCGGCATTCTCCTTGATTGCATAGATTTGTGATGGAATGGGTGATAAAAGATGTGGGCTTAAAATATACAAAGTATTTCACTTTGGCTTTCCTTTTCCCTTTTATTTACTGTATGCCTGATGAATTCCCTTCCATGGCAAATTGAGTTGTTTGCAGTTGCATCCTTCATCTGTTCTCTTTATTATTGTTTATTTGTGTCACTGCTTACAAATGGGATTATGTGGTATAAGGATGTCGGTTCTGCACTGCCTGCAATCAAGGATAGATCATGGACTTATGTGTGACCTCACATGCTAACTTTACAAACCCTTCTAGGTACACAGGGTGTCCAGTCCAAATGGAACCTAACAGAGCTCTGTGCATTATGTTAGATAAATGCAAGCCTGTACCAGGCCTTACTTGATGACATTGTCTCACCAACGTGTTCCAGTATGGTGGAGGCACAAAACAGAAGGACTGAGAAAAGTCATTGAAAAAAATAGACTTCTGCAAGCTTTCTGTGATTTTTGATAGATTTGATCTTGAGAGACCTCAGTGAAACTGAACACTAAAAGGGTTGCAGTCTTCAGATAAGCTGACAGGAATACTAATTTGATTGTTTTGCAATTGATAAGTGTCGATGTTTTGAGCATGAGTCATTTCCTATTTGTGATTCCCTTTCAGGACAGGAGTTACTATTCTTATCGCTGCTACTGAATTTGACTATTAAAGTCTGTATTTCCTCATATCTGTGTGACTAAGTGGATCTCAGAAGATTTGTAGGATACATGTAGCTCAGAGCTTGATCTTGTACAAGGCAGGCTACTAAATTAGAACTCAAGTTGCTAGAATTATGGTAGTTCACAAGGAAACATGTTTTTCTTTTGAGACCTCAAAATATGTTGCATTTGGTTTTGTAGTGGATATAGAGATGTAAAAAAGTTATATAGTTTTATGATTCTTTTGCACTTTTTTGTTTTGCTTTCCTACCAACACTGGAACCTGTTTGATGATTTCTAGCTAAGAAACTTTAATTCTTTAGTATACATAGATAGTTGTACCATTACTCACAGACACTCAGGTGTCATTTTCAAAAGCTGCATTTTTTTAATACATTCAGTAGAAAATGGCTACTAGTTGAGAAGTTCAGAAGAGTCACTGGCTTTCTTGTGTCAATGCATAGCTGATCCCTGCTGTCGCTCAGGAGGTGCTTCACTGCTTGACTGTTCCTCTTCCAGCTGTCCGGGGATGATGGTGCTGACACTACCCTCCTTCGATTGTGATGAAACTACTAAAAGGTGTCTGTCAGTTTTGCTGGAGTAAAAGGAAGGGAAGTTAAATCTGATTAGCTTTTTTTTTTTTTTTTTGGTAAAGGGATTTGGTTTTTTGGTATAAGGAATGGCAAACAAAAACATGAGAAAATGGAACGTGGTATAAGAGGAAAAGAAGCAGAAGTTGCAGAAGGACATAGAATCAGAGAAGATTAAGAAAACAAACGGATTTTGAGTCTTTACATGTGTCTCCTTAATGTCTGGGCATGCAACTGAAATGCAGAGTTTTCTCTTGGGAACCGCACTTGTTTGATGGTGTTCAAAAGACTTGTGCTATGTGCTTAAGGGGTTCTGTGATCAAGGCAGTAACTGAGGAAACATTGTTTCCCTTTTCCACTAACTGCCCTGGTTGTTTTCTGCTTAGTGGGCTCCCCTAATATTTAGGATAGATTTATCTGTGGATAGGACAAGAGAATTTGGTACAGATGGCAAAGCACATTGTGCTGGCAGATTTATGCAGGGTCAAAACATCTTCCTTGTTTTATCACAAAGGTATAATGGTGATGATGGTGAAAGCCCCTTGTAGAATTGCTACATTTATTAAAGAAGCATTGTCTGGTTTCTTACCCCACTGTGGGCCAGCTAGCTGGGCTGCCTGTTGCTACCGCACACTGCTGTCTGTGTGCAGAGTGAATGTTGTAATAGCTGCAAACACCATCAGCAGTCCTGGCTCGTGATTAAACCAGACCATTTATCTTGGTGACTCTGTGGTTATTTTAAGCGGTTTTATGTACTCATTGTATTAACTCTTAATGGATCCAGCTCATGGGAACGATGGGGCTGAGAAGTAACAGAGGAGTGGCTTTTCACAAAGGATGTAGGTGAGTAGCACGTGCTGTTTTTGTGCAGGCAGATTTGGAATAAAATACTGCCTTTTCAACTGAAATTGCACAGCTGTGCTTTGTTCATTGTTGAGTTCTGTAGCCAATTTGCGTTTTTATAAGCACATTTTTGGTCTTTGCCATGCATCACTGAAGATACTCTGGGTTGCTGATCTCACACAAACTTCATCTCTCATGCTCGCCAATTTTAGTCTCTGTCTGTGGTCACGTTTGTTTCTCCCTCTCTAGCTGTTCGATCTCATCTGAGAGGGATGCATGTATTAAAAGCTTTTATTTGTAATTCATAGTAGTCTGGCTTTTTTCTAGAGTCTGGGTAGCAAAGGATTTGGCCTCAGTCATGTCTCATGTAGAGATGGTATCACTTTGATCATTTTTGCAAGATACACTTCCTTCTGAGAGTTGTCTGCTTGTGAGTTAACACCTCTATGTATAAGTTTGGCTGGTGGTGTTACAGGTAACACTTGAAGCAGAGACTGCTTTCCCAGCAGCAACAAACCACGAAAACTTGGTCTTGATTATCTAGGATTTCACAGGGTTTGGACCACTTGGCAGAGAAAGGGAATGCTGACCTGTTCGAGCCTGCAGCAGGAAGTTTGTCATCACTGCAACATGAAAGCTGCTGTGTAGTTTTATCAGAAATGATGACTGCAGTGTGATTCAGTGCCAAGAGCAGAGGTGGTATCTTCAGACTTTTTTGTTTTTTCTTGTTTTGCAGGACTTTTTTCTACCCTTTTGTGGGGCCAACTGGAGAAACTGTCAGCCCCAGCCAGATGCAGTCATAGCATGTGTGCCGCCTTAAAGGGTTGTGGGATAGGTGGGGTAATCATGAAGCACAGGAAGGGGTTTATTTACAAGACACATTCTTTCCAGAACAGTTCTGTTTTCCAAAACTGCACAAAGTCTGCTCGTAATCTGTTAGCACAGGCTGCCTACCCTTCAGCAGAGAAAAATAAATGTGTTTTAATACATAAATACAAATAAAATTAAATAAGTAGTATTTTTTTGCTTCCTTATTCTGTAAAGTGAT